ATTTGCTTGCCTTTGTATGTTATATTTCTCTTTTCTCTAGCTGCTTTCAAGATGCTGTCTTTATCTTTGATTTTGGACCTGTATAGTATTTTTGAGGCTGTAAATATTTACAGAAGCAGGAAACCTCATCTTTTCCCCTCCGAGCAACTGGTGGGTTTAAACTGCACAGTTTGAGTCCCCTAGCCAGTCCAAGAGACAGCCTCAGAAGCCCTATACAAGGTGGCTATGAGTCAGAATCAACTCGAAGGCACTTAAAACAGCAATAGCCTTGTGATTAGCAGTCCAGTGCTTATATACTACACTGCCACCAGGGATCCTCTTTGAAGCTGGAAGGGGCTCTCATCAGCCCTGGTAGCACAATGGTTAAGAACTTGGCCGCCAACTGAGAAGATGGTAGTTTGAACCCACCAGTGACTCCATAGCAGCCATCTGCTCTTGTAAACAGTTGTGTGCTCTCTCTAGCTGGTTCTGACTCATACCAACACAGTAGAGGGTTTCTGAGGCTGTAAATCTTTACAGGAACAGAGGAGCCTCGAATTTCTTCAGCAGAACAGCTGGTGGATTTGAACTGCTGACCCCACTGTTAGCAGCCGGACGGGTAACTCACTACTACCATCAGACCTTCTATTTTTAGGTAGCACCAGTAGTAGGCGGGCTAACCTCACAGTCAGCAGTTTAAATCACGGTCAGCCTTCCGTGGGAGAAAGATGAGGCTTTCTGTTCCCGTAAAGATTTACAGCCTCGGAAACCCAATGCAGGTCGCTATGGGTAGGAACCGGAACCGACTCCACTCCAGTGGCTTCTAATTCACTTAGGTGAAACTGTGGCTCTCTTAATCCCCCCCACTTCTCCCCCATCATCGTAATGAATTTATCATAAATTTAGTCCTTGTGTGGAGCTGTGGGTTAATGCACTAGACTGCAAAGTCAGTTTGAACCGCAAGATCAGCGGTTCAAGCTTACCAGCGGCTCCTCGGAACCCTATACAGGGTCGCTGTGGGTCGGATTTCCCTCGACAGCACTTAACAACAACATTATGACTATGTGCTTACTGTTCTCTGCTGATCCAAGTAGTGTTCTAGGATTACATTTCCTTTCTCATTGATAACTGTCTAGTCTTGTATTTCCTTTGCCATTTTTTGTATGCACTTACTTTGCTATTTTCCCCAAATGCTCCAAGAGATACGTTCAAACATTTTGGCTTGTGTATCTAAAATTAATATTTTAACTGGCGTGCAGTGTTTCAACTGACAACGCGAGCCCCTGAAGCCTTGAGGCGAACCCAAGGAAGAGAGAGCGCGGGCCTCCGAAGGGCCAGCTCATGACAGATAGCCAGGTACTAGAAGCGCCGCTCTAGCCCACGTTTCTCGCCGGGGTCGATTGCGGCGCTCACTTCCGCCGGGCGGGGCCGTTGCTGGGCGGATCGGTGACGTATGCCCGGAAGGGGCGGGTCCTCCGGAAGTCAGACCGCGCCGCGCCGGCCCGAAGGGGGCCGGAGCCCGGGTCATGGCGGCGGCGACGGCAGCGGCGGGCGGTGAGGGGCGGCGCGGAACCCCGGAGACGTCGGTGGCGTCCGAACGGGGCGGTGGAAGCTGCGTGCTGTGCTGCGGGGACCTGGAGACTACGGCGCTGGGCCGGTGCGACCACCCGGTGTGCTACCGCTGCTCCACGAAGATGCGGGTGCTGTGCGAACAGCGATACTGCGCCGTGTGCCGCGAGGAGTTACGCCAGGTGCGGCGGGCCGCGTGGCCGGGTACCGGGCGGGTGCCGGGGCGCCCCCGCCCGCCGGAAGGGGATCTGGCCTTCCTAATGTTCGGCCGCTTCCGAAAGGGAGGCCTGGCGGGACCACCCGGGGAGGGGTCTCGACGTCCCGACGCTGAGGCCGGAGGCGGCCGGGTGGCCGAACTGGGCCCAGGAGGGAGCCGATCTGAGGATGTCTTCTTCCTCCGCCCCGGGAATTCTTGCCCGGCCACAGGAAGAGGCGTGATCCAGGCAGGAACTCCGTGACCTTAGGGGTCTCTACTGAGGGTAGCATCTCAGGCAGCCTGACCTGCCCTGGAAACAGGGGATCAAGAGGTGGGCAGCTCCCGCCTGTTCCTGGATTCCACTGGGTGACCCCGAGCCAACTCCCGAAATTGACTGGGGCTGACCCGCGCACAGCCTGCTGGAGTAGGTCTTGGTTTCCTCCAGCGCTCGGAGTGTGGGAATAAAAGTGTTAAGAGAGTTTTCCTCTGTCTCCTCACCACTTCTGACTTTGGGGTTCGGTTCTGGAGTGCAGGGGGAGCCCTTTCCAACTCTGTCGGGACTTGTAAATGCCTGAGAGGGACAGAGGGCGCACTGGAGCACCTCTCCTCAGTGCCAGCTGCTGGCCAGGAAGGAGCTCCATTTCGGAACTCCTTGGTTCGCTGAGCATTCGGATCTGTTTGCTCCCAGTGTTGTGAAATCCCCCTGGTTCATTCGTGGAAAGCTGCCTCCAGTGCCATCTGCCAGGGAGCCGCCTTTCCTCTTCCTAGAAGTGACACAGATGAAGTGTTGTTGAAAAGGCTGTTTAAGAGAATAGGCATTTGCTAAAGGGACCAAAGAGACGCTGCCATCCCAGGGTGGTTCGTTGGCACATCCTCTGTGCACAGGGAAGGAGCTGCCAGTCTTTGTCGAGCTGAAGGGCGATGGGCCCAAACTCGAGAGAATCAGGCAGGGTCAGATACATCCTGGGTCTGTGGCTTACTCAGAGGGCACCTCCCAGCCGGACTGCCTGGTCTTGTTGGCATGGCATAGTGTAACCCATAAAAGGCCAGGTTTCCTCTCACACCTGTGAAGGGCTTTCCACGGGCGGTCCTGGCTCTCACCTATCTGTGGCCAGCCTCTGGCTTTCTCATCTCTCTCTTTGTGGGCCCCTCCCCGAGAGCTCTGTGGCAAGGGGGTGAGCTGGCCGGGGTGTGGCTTGGCACTGATGCCCCAGTGCATTGCTAGGCCGCAGGAGGGCAAGCTGGGAAGTTTGCTGCCGGCTCGCCGCCCCTGTGCTCCTCTCTTCCCCTTCCCTCCTGCCGACTTTCTGGCCTGCCTTGTCTGTTGCTGAATTGGCACTGTTCTCTGAATCCGTACTGGTGCCCCAGATCCAGGCGAACCCACTGCCTCAGATCCTGCCCTGCCTTTGCACACCATGCCAGCATACAGGTGGAGGGCAGCCCCCCAGGATGCTGTGAGGAAGAGCTCAGGGCACCTGACCTCTATAAGTTGGATGGAGTCTGGGAGTGGACGCAGAGAGTCCTGCAGCCAGTGGGCTGGCCAAGAGCCTGGTCCATCTCGCTTGACAGGTGCTCAGGGTGAGGCTGAGGTGAAGCCATGAGCACGGACTGGGGCATGGCTCATGACAAGCCACAGTGGCATGGAGGCCCGAGGGCGGCAGAGACTCAGTCTCTCTGCCCTGGCACGTCTTTCCTGTGGATGGTGGTGTTACAGAGACTCAACTGGGCCATGTAAAGAGTGTTCTGGCTCTTGAAGGCCCCAGTGCAGCCTCAGCTGCTTTCCCAGGCAGGCCAGGAAGTGGGTGTTTGGGCTGAAGGCCACCAGGCCAGGCCTGTTCTCCCCTTCTGAACATCCCAGCTCCTCTGTCCTGAGGCCATGCCCTCCTTGCCTCCCAGTGCCTGAACTTTCGGTGGGGGGGATCTTCTGTTACCTCCAGAGCTCCTTCCCTCACCCCAGTTTTCTCACTCCATCTACATACCCAAGTGTCTTCTGGGGTGTGTTGGGAGCACCAAGACCTCCAGCTGAGCCTGTGGACTGGGCGTTCCTACTCTCTTGGCTGCTGCTGATGGCAGTAGTTGGGAGAGACCCCTTTGGCTGGTGTGGGGCAGGTTTGTTTTTGGCGACAGGTACTCCCCTCCACAGGGAGTCTGTACACTAGAGACTTCTGGCAGCCAGCAGGCACCCGAAACCCACAACTTACAGCGATGGTACAGGAGAAGGCAGAACTGCCTCGGAGGGTTTGAGGGGTTCCGAGGAGGCAGACTGCCTCATCTCTCTCCCTGTGAGTGGCTGGTGGCTCCCATGGTTGGGTAGCCGCTCAGTTTTTAATCCACAGCAGCAGCAGGACAGACATAGGACCCCAGGATTGGCTGTAGCTCAGGTAGGGGTGTGTCTTGCCCGGTAGAGGTGTGTTATGTCTGGAAGGCGCCAGGGACCTGTTGGGGGCAGGACTGGGCAGGTGCTCACCCAGAGCCAAGGGTGGGGGGCATCGAGGGGTCCACGTGAGTGGGCTTGAGGTGACCCACCGGTGGCTACAGTGTGGTGTCTGGCCTTGTACTCACCCCACAGCCTGACAACTGGAAGGGTTGGCCTGTGGGACCTACTCACCCAGCTCTGTCCCCACTGGGCCCTCCCCCCATGGGTGGGGCTGAGTGTGTCTCTTCCCATTGACTCCTGGGGAACAGGGGTCTTCTCTCCCATGAGTGTGATATTGGAAGAGAGGACTCCCTAGGAAGTCTTGGGCTTCCCAGATCATTCTGACCCCAGTGTTCCTTGGGGCCAAGCTTAACATGACAGGGGGCGCACACTCAAGGAGTCTACTGCTCTGCCTCTAAACTGACCAGGCTGGGGGTCATTGGGTGGGTGCGTCACCTTGGGGAGGGGGCTGATAGGCCTGGGGCAGAAGGGCAAGGGTGGCAGCTGTGCCCCTGTGGATGCCGGCTGAGGGACTAGGAGGGACAGCAGGGACCTGTGGGTCTGTGTGAGCCCATCCGTTTGGGAAGGAAGTTGGGGGAGGGGCTGAGAACCCTGACCTCAGTGGATGGGGCCTCCACCTAGTCATTTGACATGTCTCTCATCTGTGGATGGAGACCCTCTGGGAGGCCCTGTGTTGGGTGGTACCAGGTTAGATGTGTGGTGACACCCTTAACGGGAGAGGACAGGATGGTGCGTCTTCTTCAGATGTGGCCCTTAGTGTCCCCCCCAGCACCTCCCCCACATCAGCATGGGCCTGGAACCTGCATTTCACTGGGGCTCCCTTAGTGAGGTGGGTGGCTGGGGTCCTGCCTGGGTCAGAGCTGGGCCACCCCAGAAGTTAGGCACAGGGGGCTTTAGGGGACGGCACCAGCAACGGAACCCTTTTGCTCAGACCTGTCACTCAAGAGCTTTCTGGCTCCTGTGTGGCCACTAGGGACTGGCTGCCCCATGGTGGTGAGGTTGGACATTACATCTGTCTGCCTAGAGCGTAGGGACTTGAGGCCCCAGTCACAGGACAATGCTGCTTCTGTTACCTCCCAGGAGGTCCCTGGCTCTGGACGCTTTAAGTGACCACCAGCCTTCCTGTCCCGCCTCCTCAGCCTTGATCATTGTCCCCTTGCCTTCTGCCCAGGTCGTCTTTGGGAAGAAGCTTCCTGCCTTCGCTACCATCCCCATCCACCAGCTGCAACACGAGCCGAAATATGACATCTACTTTGCTGACGAGAAAGTGTTTGCTCTATACAGGTGAGGGGGCCCCACCCACATCCCTGTGGTCCCGCTGGCTGTCACTGTTCCTCATGGCTGTGTGGTGTCGGCATGTCTCTACCATCCTTAGCCCTCCGTTTCTTTGTGAGTGAGGTGGTAGGAAGATGACAGGCAGGTGACCTGGGACTGCCTCCACCTGGTGCAAGGCACCTGACTTCGGGCTGGATGAAAATTAACCTCTGGGTGTAGCGCTCCCAGGTCTGGTGGGTGGGCTTGGCTCCTGGCATGTACCCCTGGTCACGGTCCAGCAGGGTGCTGGACCTCATTTCCTGGGTGCCCTTTGGGTTCCTGCCATGTTGGGGCTATGATTGCTGGCCCTGGAGGCTCAGCCTGGCTCCACAATGTGGGGGCGCATGCTGGGGGCTGCCCAGCAATGGTACTGATGTGCCCCCGTGTCCCCAGGCAGCTGCTGCAGCATGAGTGTCCTCAATGCCCAGCGCTGCCACCTTTCAGCCTCTTCGGGGACCTGGAGCAGCACATGCGCAGGCAGCACGAGCTCTTCTGCTGCAAGCTCTGCCTCAAGCACCTCAAGGTGGGTGTGGCCTTACCTAGGGACGGGGCGTGGGCATGGCTTCTCTCCTGACCCAGGGAAATACCCGGATGCAGAGCAATGGTGCAGGTGCCTGACCAGGGTCCACGTGACTGTGGCTTCTAGCTGAGATGGGAGTTAATCCACTCACAAGACCACAGGTCCTCTCCACCAGACACCCTGGGCTGGGGGTCCTCTACCATGCCTTGGCGGGGCTCCTGGGACACGTGGTCCACCAGACTTGGCCTGGCACCATCTCGACCCCCTTCTGCCCGCCATGGCTGCTGGGTAGGGGGGCTTCTTCCAAGCTCAGCCCCCTCCCTGCAGATCTTCACGTACGAGCGCAAGTGGTACTCGCGCAAGGACCTGGCGCGGCATCGCATGCAGGGGGACCCGGACGACACGTCACACCGTGGCCACCCGCTCTGCAAGTTCTGTGATGAGCGTTACCTGGACAATGACGAGCTGCTGAAACATCTGCGCCGAGACCATTACTTCTGCCACTTCTGCGACGCTGATGGTGCCCAGGACTACTATAGGTGGACAGGGTCCCTGGGACCCAGGGTGGCCACCTGTGTGGACGGGCACCTCAGCTGACCCCCACTGACCCACCGCCTGCCTGCAGTGACTACACATACTTACGGGAGCACTTCCGGGAGAAGCACTTCCTGTGTGAGGAGGGCCGCTGTAGCACAGAGCAGTTTACCCACGCCTTCCGCACCGAGATTGACCTGAAGGCTCACCGCACTGCGTGCCATAGCCGCAGCCGTGCCGAGGCCCGCCAGAACCGCCAGATCGACCTGCAGTTCAGCTACACTCCCCGGCACCCGCGCCGGGGCGAGGGTGAGCTGGTTCTGCCACAGGGCCCATAAGTCCATACCCCAAGGCTTGTGGAAGAGCCCATGGCAGTGCCTCGGTGCCTCCCCTTGTCTGCTCACACCGGGCTCTGGGCCAGGAGATGCTGGGTGAGAGCCTGCTACGTGCAGGTCCTAGTTGGGACCCTTGTAAGGGGTCTGCTGCTCATGAGATCATATGCTGTGGGTGTGTCTTTCCCCTCTGACCTAGGGGCTGTGGGCTGCTTAGGTGGCAGGCAGTGATGGGCATGTACTGGCTACAGGGGTCATTGGTGGCGAGGACTACGAGGAAGTGGACAGGTACAATCGCCAGGGCCGAGTGGGCCGGGCTGGAGCACGTGGAGCCCAGCAGAGCCGCCGAGGAAGCTGGAGGTACAAGAGGTGGGAGGCTTTGCTGCCACTGACCTTCTCCTGGCACCAGTATGTGGAGGCGCTGGGCTGGGCCAGGCATGGCGTCCCGGCCTGCTGCCCAAGCTCAGAGGCTTTCTTCGTGTTCTCTGTCATTTCCACAGAGACAGTAGGCTGCTCCCCACAAAGCCAGGCAGCCTGGAAGAGGGGGCGGGTGGCTGGGTGGGCGCTGGTCCAGGGGTTTGGCTGCAGTTGGGCCATGAAGTGCTCACAGAGTGGGATGGGGACATCGGAGCCCAGACACGACTCATAGTGCTGGGCTGAGGCCTGCACCCAGGTTGAAAGTGTCTCTGTCCCTAGAGAGGAAGAGGACCGGGACACAGCAGTGGTCATTCGGGCCTTGGTGGCCACACAGCAGCAGGACGAGAAGCGCAGAGTTGAAGACCGTGAGGGCGGCCCCCGGGCCAGAGAGGAGGTAGCGGGGCGGGTATCTGAGGAGCTCCGTAGCGGCCAGCGTCCACCCCGGGCCCAGGGCGAAGGTCTAGGTGAGTGTTCCCATGTGGCCAGGGCCCCAAGTGTCCACTGCCGTGACAGCAGGCCCCACACTCACCATGGGCTGTTATGTGACAGGCCCCAAAGAAGTCTCGACAAATGGTCCCATGAACCAAGAGCCCTTCCCTGTTCCAGGCCCAGCTGTGGGTGTGCTGCCTCTGAGGTGTGTACCCCTTTGTGCTCATCCTGCGGGGGGATGGGGGTGGTGGAGCAGAGGGCAGCTGACCTGCAGGCAGCTGACCAGCAGCTGTCGGCTTTTCCTTCCCTGGCCCAGCGCCCCGGCGCCACCTGTGCAGAAGCTCAAGGATGAAGACTTCCCCAGCCTGTCCCTCAGTTCCCTGGGGGCTGGCTCTGGCCCTGCAGGGCTGGCACTTGCCTACCATGTGGCCACCAGAGCCAGGGGCACCTTCCAGGACGAGGACTTCCCAGCCTTGGTATCCTCGGTGGGCCGGCCCAGCACAACCCCTACCAGCATCATCTCAGCTTGGAATAGCAGCCGGAAGGTGGCACGACCCTCCTCGGGGGCGGGGGCCCCAGCAGCTGGGGGTGGCCAGTCCATCAGGAAAGCCAGCAAGGGCAGCGGCAAGGGCAGCAGCAAGGGCAGCGGCAAGGGTGGCCACACCTCCCCTGAGCACCAGGGAACTTCTCCGGAGCTGTGCAGCTTGCCCACTTCAGCCCCCTCCTCCTCCTCACAAGCACTAGCCCCCTCCCAGCCTGTCACCAAGGGAAACCGGAAGAAGAAGGTTGGCTCCGAGAAGCCTGGAGCCATGTCACCCCCACCCCTCGATCGCACCCCAAAAGCTCCCGACAAAGATGGGCTTGGGGCTGAACCCGTCCCCTCGGACCCCACCAGCGGAACCGAGGGGCCAGCTGCCATGGCCATAAATGGACACATGGAGGGGTTGGCCCTGGCACACAGCGGTGCCCCTAAGGAGCCTCCGGGGCTCCTGCGGCCTCCGCCCTGCCTCACACCCCAGGAAGACTTCCCTGCGCTCGGTGGTCCTGGAGCACTCAGGATGCCCCCTCCCCCAGGTGTGTCTGCTCCTGGTGGGTACTGTGGGTGAAACGTGGTGCTCGGAGCAGGGTTGGCATGGTGAGCGCCAGCTGCCTGGGAGCTGGTTCTTGTACCTGTCAGCCAGGGTGAGTGTTGCTATGCCCTGCCCCTCCCTCGCAGGATTCAACACTGTGGTGCTGCTGAAGGGTGCGCCGCCCCCACCTCCACCAGGGCTGGTGCCCACGGTGAGCAAGCCACCCCCTGGCTTCTCCGGTCTTGTGTCCAGCACCCAGCCGGTCTGTGTGTCCAGCACTAACACCAAAGCGTAAGTGTGGGTGGATGCTTAGTCAGGGTCCCTTCGTCTTGGGCCACCCTGAAAGCGGAGCTGCCATGTCCTCCCTCCTGACCCAGACCTAGGCTGACCCCACCGCCCAGGGCCTACCTGGTCCCTGAGAACTTCCGGGAAAGGAACCTGAAGCTGATTCAGTCCATCAAGAACTTCCTTCAGAGCGATGAGGCCTGCTTCAGCAAGTTCAAGAACCACTCGGGGGAGTTCCGACAGGTCAGGGGTTGCAGCGGGCCGTGGCAGGTCCGGGGGGTTATTGTCCTTGCCTGGACAGGCCTTGATGTTCTAAGCCTCTGTTGGCAGGGTGTGATCCCTGCCGTCCAGTACTACAAGAGCTGCCGTGACCTGCTTGGGGAGAGCTTCCAGAAGATCTTCCCGGAGCTCTTGGTGCTGCTGCCGGACACAGCCAAGCAACAGGAGCTGCTGGCGGCACACACAGACTTCTGCAGCCACGAGCAGCCCTCAGGCGCCAGGTCCAAAAAGAGCAAGAAGAGCGTGTGGCAGGCCAACACCCCGACGGCAGGCCTGGACTGCTGTGTGTGTCCCACCTGCCAGCAGGTGCTGGCGCACGGCGACGTCAGCAGCCACCAGGCGCTGCACGCTGCACGGGACGATGATTTCCCCTCCCTGCAGGCCATCGCTAGGGTCATCACGTAGCTGCTGGGGGCGCGGGTAGGAGCTGCCTCACCTGGGCACCTCCTCTCGCCTTCCTCCCTTCCCCTGGGCTGCCAGGCAGCCAGGTGAGGCCCTGGCCAGGCTATCCGCCCAGGCACCTTGGCATGCTGGGCTGCGAGGTAGGCTGCGAGGCAGGCTGCTGCCCCGCTGGCATGTGGTCACACAGGAGTGCCCCCCGGTCTCTTGGGAAGGGCACAGACCCTTGCCCCTGGCAGGCTGGTCTTGGTTTGTATTCTCACAATGGTGCAAGATGCCAGGGAGGGAAGAGCCGGGAGGCTGGAGCCACAGCCTGCCACCCCAGTGGTCCTGGCAGCCCTAGCTGGGCCCTCCTGAGTGGTGCCCTTTAGCACCTAGGGTCCCCTCCAGAGCCCGAGAGGCCATGAGGGCCTGCAGGTGCTGGAGCAAGACACTGAGTGTTTGTTGTGTGAACAGTTGGTAGTTTCATGGTTCAAGAATGTTAAGGAATTAAAAGCAGACACAAATTGTGCTACTGAAATCAAATCTTTTCTGAGACAAGCTGAATCTGGGATCTCATGTTGCCTCTGACATTTTTTATAAGACAGTTTATCTTATAAAAATAAATTTATTTTTCAATACGGCACTTAGTTGGCCAGTGTCCTAGCTTCTCTGTCATGCAAGCACCAGCCTCCCCACCCCCCAAGACACTACAGTTGAGGTGATAGCTGTGTGCATGGGGGGGTGGGGGTGAGGGCATGGCGAGGCCCCAGCAGAGCTCACAGCAAGAGGCAGTCAAGCTCAGGCCCCATTTTTCAGTGTCTGAACCTGCCCAAGCCTCCCAAGAACGGACACACAGCCAGGTCCAAGTAAGGGAGAGATGCCCACAGATAGGAACAAATGGAGACATCCTGAGAGAGAATGGTGCTGAGGGCTTGGCACTGTCTACCTGCCTGAGCTTAGGAGTCTTGAATGGTGGGCTTCAGCACCTAGGGTCTCTAGAGCTAGAGGGACACAGCTTGCTAGGAAGTGAGAGCCTTCATTCTCCGGGGCTGGGGAGAGGCCAGCCACACAGGAGGGACCGTTCCTAGGCCCTCCTTGCAAAAGGACCCTGAAGATATCCTGAGTTGTTAGGTGCCATCGAGTCGGTACCGACCCATAGTGACCCTACGCACTGCAGAACAAGACACTGCCCGGTCCTGGGCCCACCTCACTATTGTTACCATGCTTGAGCCCATTGATGCTGCCACTTGGTCAGTCCATCTCCCTGGGGGTCTTACTCTTCTTCTCTGACCCTCCACCTTACCAAACACGATCTCCTTCTCCAGTGACTGGTCCCTCCTGACAATATGTCCTAAGTATGAGAGACAAAGTCTGGTCATCCTAGTCTCCAAGTATCCTGTAAGGATTTTCCAATTCTTAAAGAAGGAGCAAGGCCCTCGGTAAAAACCCTCCAGGCTTAAGCACCTGCGATCGCACCTTTGGCTGCTGGCTTCCGGTGCATGAACTCATTTCATCCTCGCCTCCGCCTTTCTGGCAGAAGGGTGACACAAGACCAGGCTAGAGAGTGGCAAAGTTGGCGCCCCCGGCCCTATACCTCTCTCTGCTCCAGTGAGTCAGAACGACAGTGAAAACCAGCTAGAAGCCTCAGCCACGCAAAAGTGACTATGCTAAAGCTCCCAGTAAACCAAAGCCAAACCCGATTCCTACTCAAGGTAACTTCCAATAAGAGAATTCACACTAAAGGGACAGGAAAGGGGAGAGGCTAGGGAATGTCCCCCTGTTGGGAGGGCCTATGGAGTGGAGGAGGGGCACTGAAGAAAGTTGGGGGTGGGGGAAAATCAAGAGCTGAAGCAGGATATGTTTTAACCCATGTAGGAGCTCTGGTAACATAATGGTTACAAGTTGGGCTGCTAATCTCAAGGTCAGCAGTTCAAAACTACCTGTCATTATGCGGAAGAAAGATGAGGCTTTCTGATCCCGTAAGGATTTACAGTCTCGGAACCCCTATACAGGGTCACTATGAGTCAGAACTGACTCCACGGCACACAGCCACCACTAACTACATAGACACCTAAAGAGGAAAAGCTCTAAAATTATTACACAAAGAAATATACTACAAGATTTCACTTGTTTTCAAGGGCACCCACGGTCACAGGAAATACGTAACCAAATCAAAGTTCTTGTTTTCCTGCCAGAGGGATGAAAAGGAAAGCCCAGGATTTCATCAAGTTGTTTATGAACTCCTGGGTTCCAAAGAGCCCTGGAGGTGTAGTAGGTGGAAGAGTTGTACTGTTAACTGCAAGGTCTGTGGTTCAGACTCGTCAGTCACTCTGTGAAGACAAGGGAAACTGTCTACTCCCTAAAGACTTCAGATCTCAGAAGCCATTTTACTATGTCCCATAAACTACCAGCTGCTCTGCAGGAGAAAGATGAGGCTTTCTGCTCCCGTAAAGATTTACAGCCTTGGAAACCCTGTACAGGGTTGCTGTGAGTCGGAACCGACTCCACGGCCATTTGTGGCTTTTTGTTTGCTGTAGAGTCGGTTCCGACTCACAGCGACCCTGTACAGGGTTTCCGAGGCTGTAAATCTTTGCGGTAGCAGAAAGCCTCATCTTTCTCCATGGGTGTTTTGGTTTGGGGTTCATACCCAGACTGGCCACTAGGTGGCACGTGAACTGGCTAGCTGAACAGCGCCAGGAGAAGGCTGACTTTGAAGCTGACATCCTAATCACAGAAGGCCAGCCAGAAACTGACTGAAATCAACCAGGTCTTTAAAAACTACATCAATGCCAGAGTCCAAACTGACTTATAGTCACCCTACAGGACAGAGTAGAAATGCCCCCTGGGTTTCCAAGCCTGTCATCTTCACAGAAGCAGACTATCAACATTTTCCATATGTGGCTGGTGAGTTCAAACCATCTGTCTGCTTAGCAGCTGAGCATTTAACCTTGGCACCATCCGAGTTCCTTAACCTGCTAAAATAAAAGATACTAACATTCTCCATAGGACTCAAAACCCTAGTTTCAGCTTAGTCATCCACACAGACAAGACACAATCAAAATTAAGTCAGCAAACAAAGAACTAGGAAAATCAAAATTCCTGTGCGAAAAGACAAGCATCAGAGCCCACATGACACATGTGATGAGTTGTCTGACAATGAAGCACTCCTGCAATTATATATGGGAACTAAGTGGTGGTCTCCCCAGCATGCCAGGAAGACTGCTGAGAGGCACACCAGTGTGATACGTAGTTGGACCTCTAGACCTGTGACCCATCCTGACTCTTCTGAGGCTCTGAGGGAGGAACCACCTCCCTGCCCCTTCCCCAGGTTCTGCCCCTCAGGTCGCATCGCCTGGTACCAGGAGGACAAGGGTAGAAATGATTTCAGGAGCACCGAGGGCACAGTAAACTCATCTCCAGTCTTTATTGTAAAGAAGGTGCGGTTGGGTTATGGGGCACTGAAAATACACAATCACGGATTGTTCTTTCAGAAGTGGCAGGAGAAAGGGTCTATATATACAAAAATTGTAAACATGTTCACTGAAGAAACCACGCATGACTGGTCTACGCTACAATGGACAGAGCTGTCACTCCACCACTATTCCAGAGGGAGATGTTCTGTCTGCAGGAATGAAAGGTGGCAATTGCGTTTGGTATCGAGATAATGTGAAAAGCCAGCTTGGAGCGATGCATGAGTAGTCAGCTACACGTGGAGACCCCCAGCTTCAGGTTGGGCCTCAGGATGGGTACAGGGTCGGGGTACTGATCTAGGAAGCCAAGGAAAAGGGGTTTGTATGGTACAGACATCCCCACAGCAAAGCAGGCAGATGGAACCTTCAGGTCTCTCCGAAGGACTAGGCTTGTCTTGTCAGGCACCCACACATCCTGGGCCTCCTTGGACTGGGACAAGGCTGGTGCCCACCTGTCCTCCAGCCATCTGGGTCACAACTGCCCATGTGTAGACAGTGGGCCTGGGTCAAGGCAGGTAGGGGTTAGGGCAAGAGCCACAGACAGAGGAGCTTGTGGGGAACTAAGGAAAACCTGACGATTTTAACACAATCACACCACCAACAGGGTAGGGCTGCTCTAGTGAGCCTCTGCAACTAAGTGGAGGGTGTTCTGGACAGAACAGACCGCCTTCCAGGACAAACCACTACTACAAAAGCAAGGGCCGGCAGGACCACAAGGGTACTGCCACTGTCCTGGGGCAACACAGTAGGGATAGGGTTGTGTCCCTGGGCCTGGTCCCAGCCTCTGGCTGGCTAGCCCAGAGGGGAGTAGGCCCCAAGTTTGTCCCCTTGAGACTGGAGGGTACAAGTCCTGGGCCAGCTGACCATCTCAGAACCAGGGTCCAGGGTTAGGGACTGAGGGAACTTGGGGGGCCTCCTCCTCCCGGCCTGGGTCAGCCCACACTGGCTACCCTCTGTCCCTGGCACTGGGCCTGAGGTTGTTGTCTGGCCTTTGCGTTCTGGTCCGCACCAGCTGGCCACTAGTAGGCAGGCACCTGGTAACCTTTGGGGCTGGTGTCCAGAGTCTCGGTGAAGGGCGGGCTCTGGTAGGTCTCGGTCCCCTCCACACCGCTGCCCACTGGGTAGCCGGGGTAGGCCTGGCCTGCCCCGGCGCCCAGCTGCTCGGTGGCGAAGAGAGACATGTCGGTGCCCAGGCGGAACCGCTGCAGGGCCTTCACAGTGAGTGCCACCTGTGGGGGGAGCCCGGGGTCAGCTGACCCGGCCCAGGTCGACCCGCCTACCCGCCCGCAGTTGCACACTCACCCAGCTGAAGATTGAAAAGAAGCTGAAGGCGATGGCGGCCCGGGCTGCGTCCCCCGCCTGTGCTGTGCCCGGCCCGGGCGCTGTGTGCTGCCACTGGTTGGTGAGGAAGCAGAAGCCGACGAACCACAGGAAGGACCAGAGCCCTGCGACCCGCAAGGCAGCGCAGGTCAATGCCAGGTGTGCAGGTTCGGCCCCACGGCCCGCCCGTAGCCTACGCTGCATGCCAGGCCGCAGACCCGCCGTCTAAGCGGCCCCTCTTAGTCTCCGAGCCAGGCTCCGCCCTCCCCTAATCGCAACCTCATCTGGCCCGCCCCCCTCTGCCAGACCCCGCCCACTAGGGAAGGCCCTCGGTTCTCACTAGGCTTCCCTTTGGTCCCGCCCACTAGACTAGCGCAGCTGTTTATTAACTACGACCCGCTCACTAGAAAAGCCTCGCTGTTCTCATCAGGTCACACCCCCTTGGGCCCCGCCCACCACAGATCCCAGTTGTACTCTCACAGGCTCTGCCCTCTTCCTGGCCCCACCCATTGGAAAGCCACGCCCTACTTCCCGCACCAGGCCCCTGCCCACCTGAGAAGCCCAGGTCCAGCAGAACAGCGCGACGGCGATCGCGGACGCTGCTGATCTGCTGGAAGCGAACGTCGAGTAACAGGAAGGCGGCGCAGGCGAGGAAAGCGCCCAGGCCGAGCGCGACACCAAAGCGGCAGGCGCCCGCGTTCCCATTGAAGACGCAGCGCAGTTCTGGGCCGCTGTCGGTGTTCACATAGCCCTCGTTGACTATGGGCCCGAAGACCGCAATGGAAAACACCTGCGGGAGGGAGGGTGGTGGATGGCGTCCCCTGCTTACTCTATTCCCCAGTGCAAGGCCTCACCGCCAGCTATCCTGACTTTCTCTGGTTGCAAGGCGCCTATCTCCGAGTAGGGGTCTTCGGGCACCCTCCCTTGCCCACCCTTCACACATTTAAAAACTATTGACAATATACACCGTTTCGTGAGCATTTACTATACCTGGGGCACTGGGCTAAAACCTCTCATTGGGTCCTCCCCAAAGCTACAAGGTGGAAGTTAGTCTTATCCCGTTTGTTATCGATTCTGACTCATAGTGAGGTGTGTATAAGAGAAGGAAGAAAACAATGCCTGATCCTGTCTGTCCTCACTATCATTGCTATCGATGTGTTGCAGCTACTGTGTTAGCCCATCTCTTCGAGGGTCTTCCTCCTTTTCCCTGAGCCTTTGCTTTACCAAGCATGACACCTGATGCCAATGACTGGTCCCTCCTGACAGCATGTCCAAACATGTGACACGGAGCCTCACGTACAACGGAAAAGGAGAAAATTGGGGGCGGCTCTAACAGATGAGGAGCTCTGGTAGCGTTGTGGTTATGAATCGGACTACGAACTGCAAGGTCAGCAGTTTGAAACTACCAGCTGCTCGCTATGGGTTGGAACCGACTCGACGGCACTTAATAACAACAACAACAACAACAAAAGATGAAGTGACTTGTCCAGGGACACTTAACAGCTGGGGTTGGGTCAAGCTCTGTAATCTGCATCACGTGTCACACCTAGGGTAAACTGGATGGTGGGCAACAGGAGCTGTGACTCCCAGGGGGCTGGAACCCAGAGGCATGAGGAAGGCAAATGTGTGGAGTCCAGAGCAAGTGGTGGGGGTAGGCTGGAGTTGGAGGAGAGGACCAGTCTGGGGGTGGAGTGGGGACAGTCCAGGGACAGGAACAGCAGTATAGTGCTGTCCATCAGGCCTGCATGGATCTGCCCAGCATTCTGTGGCTGTATGTCCTGTTTCCTAGGGGAGTGGTGGGACAGCATGTGGTGGGTGCTTAGGAGGTAAGAAGACACTCTGCCACGTGATCAGCACTGACATTAATACTACGGAGACGTGTTGAGCTCAAAAAACTACCAGTGACTTTTGGGGTCAGTCACAACCCCTGAGGATGGGCAGGCAGGGGCCATGAGCATTTTAGCTCTTTCAAATCTGGACGGCCTTGCAGTTTCAACTTTGTCAGTCCTTCCCAGTTCTATCGCCCAAAAACCCAGTCCCCATTAAGTCTGGAGGGAAATAGACACAGGGCGGGGTGTCTTTGCAGAATGGTCCACAAGTCGGGTCCACATGTCTTAGCCTCCTGGACGCTGCTTGGAGCCACTAAGCGACATGGTCCACCGCATCCCCTGCCTGGAGGATGGCCAAGGGATGCCCCTTCCATACCACCTCCAGGAAGTCTTCCCATGCATAGCCCCTTAGGCTGCCCTACCCAGAGGGAGCTCAGAGGCCCCTCCAACTCACAGCTGCTTCTGGGGGGCCTGGGAAGGGCCAGCTCCCTCCGAAGGAACTGGAGGATGTGTGTTAGGGATGGGTGGGGGAAGGCCCTGCCGGATCACTCGGCTCCCGTAGCCCCCACCGCACGTCTCCGTCTCCCACCTCCACTGTGTGCCCGCGTCCGGGTCGCGAGGACAGGAAAAAGGGAGTAGGGGCTGGGGAAAGGGTAATTGGAGGGCAGGGGGAAGCCGGTGGTGACCTCTCAAGGTCCCGGGCAGTCCCCGCCGACCCCTCCTCCGCCTGCAGGTGGGCGCGCCCAGCCCGGTGACGTCACCCCAACCTGAGCCGGGAGGGGGAGGGGCCGGGGTGAAGATGAGGATGGGGATGAGGGCGGGGGTCGGTGGGGGTCCGGGGGGCCCAGGGCTACTCACCCAGGACGCCACCCGCAGCAGGGTCTGGGGCCGCCGCGCGAAGCTCACGGGGTCCAGGGCTGCCCCCGCACGGCCCGCGCCGAATGAGGCGCCTTCCATAGCTGGCCCGGTAGGGCCCGCGCCCCCAGCGCCCTCTGCCCCCCTGTCTTTCCGGTCGGTCGGTCCCTCCTGAGGCAGCTCGGGGCTGCTGCCGATGCTGCTGATGCTTCTGCAGCCGCCACCTCCCGAGGGCGCGCGCCGGCTGGGCGGGGGCGCGCGGGGCGGGGCTAAGCCGGCCTCCCCCCTCCCCCCCCACAGATCCACACAAGCGCGGGGCTGAAGTCGCCCCGCCCTACCCAGAGGCGTAATGGGGTTCCTGGGAGGGGGACCATCCTCACGGTGACCATTCCTGGAGAAAACGAGTTTGTCGCTGTAGGGTAAGGCAACGGCCTGGGCTCTCAACGGGGAAAGTCAGGTGGTGGACAGACGACCTTGATCCGGCTTTTCTGAGTGACCCCTTCCATGTTCCTCGGGGTCACTGAGGCTGGTGGATAGGGGACCTGGCTTGTCCAAACGAATGAATCCGCAGTGGGGTATCTCCACACCTTTCAGTGGCTGGGGTACATCATCCCAGCTTGTGGCTAGGTGCATTTAGTCAGGGGCAAAGGGGTGGGGAGTTGGGCCGAGTTGGTGCTAGGCTGTTCTTCCTGGGTCCTTTCCACCGGACCTGTGGTCCATGTGGGACAGGATCCTTCCATCATGTCCCTTCCCACAAGCCTGGCAGGGTGGACACGTCCTCTGTTCTAGTCCAGGGCAATGAAAAGTGTGAATTGGGTGTGCGTTTTCAGTACCCAGTCCCTTACAGCAGCCTATACGAACTGTCAGAACGGTAGTTACTCCATTTTGCAGATGGGTAAACTAGCAGGCTGTTCGGGTTCCTTGCTGCAAACCACACAATCTGAAGGTGCAGAGCTGGGGTGTAGCGTAGGATGGTGGTGGCCGGCAGGCAGAGTGGAGACCAGAAGCAGGCTTGGGGTGTGGCAAGGAGCCTCTTCAACTCTACAGCTGAAGCTGTGGGGGACAGAGTGGCTTGGACTTAGGCCAGGGAGGGAGGTGTCAGCAAAAGGGAGCTGATGGTCTGGGGGCTAGTTGTAGAGATTGGGATGACCTGGGTCCAATTTAAAAACACCCTCTCCCCCTTCCTCAGAGACCTGAGGGCCTGGATGTGGGGAGGGGTGCAGGCAGTTCACCAGAGGGGGACATCACTGAGCTGTTCAATAGCACAGGTACTCTGAGCCGAGGGGGGACACATGGCCAGCTCCCTGGTCTGCACTCCTCCCTTGGCCCAGCTGGGTGCTCGTAGGGCAGGGGACCCAAAATGGTCAGTTGAGAGTGTCTTTTTTCTTCTACAATACAGCTTAGTTACAGTCTTAGGCAGGAAACATCCAGACAGCTCATCAATCTAAGGTTTATGATTACCAAAGTAACCTTTAAGTACAAAGCTAAGAGTGAACAATAGATAGAGATCAAGTACATAGTAACTATTTCCCCTAATTATGGACCCTACCCCAAGCTGTTAGGTCAGTATGTTCCAAGCCCAGCACCAATGGCACTCAAGCAAGGCTTCCCTGGTAGCTCTCATCCAGTAGTCCCTGTCCCTGGTTAGAGCGCTACCGCCGGGTGGGCTTCACACACGTCCCTCCACTCCTACACCACCCCACCAGCCTTACTCTCCTCAAGGTGCCAAGTCCAGGGCCAGGGGTCTCCTGGCTGCTCCTGTCTCCCAGGGGTCCGCTCACAGCTTCCTCCACACCCAGAGGGAGGCTGCTCTGACCCAAATCCCCAGAGACCCACTGGGCTTCTTTCACCCACCCTGAATTCTCCTGGTTCTACCTTCAAAGAGCTCCAGCACTGGAGAGTTACCTCCCTCAGCGTCCCGACCTCCCTTCCCTGCCCTCACCTACCTTAGCTCAGCAATGGGGTAATTTCAAGTCAGCTTCCACCATTTCGCCTCGCCAAGCCCCTGAGAAAGCCACGTTCCTACCTTGTCTGGAAAGGTCTACCACCTGCTCTCCCCACCCCTCCTACCTTGGGCTCCCCAACCCCTACTGGAAGCTAGCACCCCAAAGGGCAGAACCTAAACAAAACACACCAGGTAGGGTTCTCGGTTACTTCCACAGCGGTTTATTTTGGTCTCTACCTCAGAAGCAGCTGTCCCGTTGGCAGTCCCAGCCCACCCAACCTGGACAGCACCTTGGGTCAGAAACATCACTGCAGGCGACTGAGCAGGGCCTAGAGGTACCCATAGGTCCAGGCCAATCAGTGAGGAGGTGGTGGGCTGGTGTTGTGTGGTGAACATGGGGGAGCCCAGGCAGGCGCTTCTGCCTGGCACAGGGGCAGCTTGCCTCAATCACCTGCATACCCCACTCCTGCCATCAGGGGTGCATGCCATGGGCACCTCCATACTTCCTCTCCCCCGCAGGCACTGTCCTGGGGTCACCCAACTAAGACAGGACAGGTTCTGCATGAGATGCACTTTAATGGTTGCCCTGCTCACTGCAGGGCCAGCTGGTTCCAGCGCCGCCCACCCTGGTCTAGTCGCAGGAGCCGTCTTTCCAGCCATCGCGCCAGCGCTCGTCCACCTGCGAGCAGTTGAAGGCTGGCTTGCCCAGCTTGTGGTTCACTTCATTGTGCAGGCGGCACAGCCACTGTGAGAAGTGTGCCCTTGTGCGTGTGTCTGGCTGGTTCCGGTATATCCTGGGGGCAGAGGGCATTGAGAATTGGGAGGCAGCTGACCCCACCCTCAGCCAACTTCCAGTCTGCTCCTGGGGAGACTAAGCCAGGAGTGGCCCCTAAAGGAGGGACAGCACATTCCTGGGGCAGGCCTGACCCTCAGAGCCCTGGGCCTTGGTGAGCTCCCAGCCTGCTCAAAAACCTTCCCAGGACCTGAGATCAGAACTAGATGATACCCACATATCACTGCTGACTGCCCTAAAAGGGATCACAATAGAAGGTTCTAGATAAGAGTGGGAGAAAAGGGTAGAACGAAACTCAACATCATAAAGCAGAGCATGCTCACTGGTCTGACAGAGACTGGTGGAACCCAAGACTATGGCCCTTAAATACCTTTCAAGCTCAGGACTGAGCCACTCCCTTCTGACTTAAATTTTAGCCAAACAATGTTGTTTTCATTAAGTGCTGTGGAGTTGGTTCTGACTCATAGACCAAGGAGTGGCTGGTGAATTTGAACGGCCAACCTTATGGTTCAAACTGACCTTTCTGTCCAGTGCTTTATCCCACAGCACCACACCAGGACTCCAAACAACAGACAAACCTGTAAGGTGAAGGCTACCACCAGGGAGGTTTGCACTCCTCAGAACAATCAATCAGAGGAGATCAAACGCACAGTATTTGACAGGGACAAAGCCCAGAAGGCAGGAAGGAAATGAGGAGGACTAGAAACAGGTGTCACAAGGAAGAAGCAGGCAGGGGTTCTCAGTCAGTCAGGAATCAAAATGTGTATGAACTGACTGGAAAATGGATGAACTCCGTAAACTTCACTCAATCACAATACAAAGGTAAAAAGAATAAAAACCTTGCCCAGGGACAGAAATGTTTCCACTTCTGTGAAATCTCTCCAACAGGTCAGTTCAGAGACAGAAAACAAAATAAAGGGTACCAGAGGCTGCAATGGCAGGGGAGGGGGAGTTAAGGGGTACCGAGTTTCAGTGATTTTTTTGGGGGGGAGAAATTAAAAGTTTTGTATGGTGTACAAACACAATTAATGGTACACTTAAAAAATACTTAATCTTGTCTATAAACCTTGATTCACAAGAAAAGGTTTTTTTAAAAAAAGTTAGAAGATCAAATTTCATGTTATATGTATGAGGGAGATTTTTTTTTAAATTCTGGAAAACTTGAATAAAAAGACTAATTTCCACCAAACGTTTTGAAGTGTATCATTATAATCAAATTCGGAAAACAAAACGAAACACCAAAACCCCACCCAGGGAGCAGGGGCAAATTTGACAAACGCTGTGGGCAAGACATTAAAGGGCAAGACATTAAGGAGGAACCTTTATGAGCTCATAACTGTCAGGAGGCCTCAGCCTCCCTGGCCTCGGGCAGAGAGTGGGAGGGGTGGCAGCCGGCATAACTGAAAAGCCAGGCCCGCTGCTTGGCACGGAGGCCTCGGTTCAGCCAGAGCCTTTGCTGCTCTGCCCCACAGAGGGACTGCAGAGGAGGCGCTGCTAGGACCCTCCGGTACAATGGGAAGCATTGTCCATTGATGGGCAAGATGGCCCTAGAATCCAATCTCCACTCACTGGCCGGGAGTCCTGGCTTCTGGTCACCTTTCCAGCTACGGTAGCTTAGTGGGATTACGTTTTGGGATGTTAACCAAAAGGTCAGCAGGTTGAATCCATCAGGGAAAAAGCGGAAGCTTTCTGCTTCCGTAGAGATCTGCAGCCTAGATAACCCTATTCAGGGTGGCTGTGATTCAGAACTGACTCAAGGGCACAGCACCCTCCCCCCCATGACCTCAGTTTGACCGCCAGCCCCTGGGGGCGCTGCTCACAGGACTCACCTCTTCCTTAAGTCCTCAGCACATTCCTCGCACGGGTAAAACTTAGAAAATAAATGAATGAATTGGGCCATGTCTTGCTGCTGCTCCAGGGTCGGGGCGTCGGGGTAGTAGGCGGCCAAGGTGTGGAGGACAGCCCAACTGTGGCGGCCCAGTTCCTCCCGGTCCTGAGGACAATCCTCCCTAAATGTGCTGCTCTCCTGCTGCGGAAGGAAAAGTTCAGTTCAGGCTCCCCGACCAGGACTTTCCTTTTCCCCAGGCCGCGGCCCAATGTCTCAGGACAGAGTCCGGCAGCGGAGCTGAGCGAGGCAGCGCCAGACCTACTATGGGGTGTTAGTGTGTGTCAAAGTGGAAGGATATAGGAGAGCAACTCGAAAATGGGACCCATCTGACAGCTAGGGGCACCGAAGAACACCTGAGAAGGCGAGAAAGGGCTCAGGCGGGTGACTGGGGCGAACGTGCACCTTCTGCTGTGTCCGCATCCACGTCTTGAAGTCAACACAGGCCCGGCAGGGCCGCCTTGGGGCGGTGTCTTCAGCGACCTGCGGCTCGGGGATCGGTGCCGGAGCTAGCGTCGCGGCGGAGGCAGCAGAAGCTCTGCGGCCCGCGCCCCGACCTCGCGCGTCGGTCTCCTGGTCGTCCAGCACCTCGGAGCGTGCGCCGCCGGGCAGGAAGGAGAAGAAACCCCCGCCGCCAAAGCGCCCGCGCTCCCTGGGCGCCGCCATGTTGCTCGCGCAAGGGCTTCTGGGCCAGCTCGGCCTCCAGAGGGGCCTCCAGGTCGGCATCCATGCCAGAGCGCGCGCTGCCGCCAGAGCGCGACTGCACGCGACGGGAAAGCGCACGACGGGCGCGGGCGCGACGGCCGGGGCCGGGCTGGGGGCGGGCCCGGAGGCGGGACCCGGAGACGGGTCTGGAGCGGTGGCTGTGTCGGAGGCCGCGGCCTGGTTGAGGGTCCGCGCCCTGGTGGGGCCGGCGCCGCGGGAGGGCCGTGCCCTACCCGCTCCCCTCGGCCTGCGTCCACGGCCCGAGCCCGGCTTGCGTCGTGTGGGGCGGTGCTCCCGCTTCCTCCAATAGAAGAGCAGCGTAGTATGGAAGCCACGCCGTGGCCGCGCGCTGGGCTCGGGCTGAGGCGCAGGTGAAGTTCGGGTGGGGGCCCGCGACGCCCCCATCGCTGCGCTCTAACTGTCCCTTGAGCCTGCGGCCGGGCTTTGTGCCGGCCCGCCTAGCAGGGCGTCACTCTCACTGGCCAGCTGTCTATCGCCATGGCAACGGGCACCTGGCAACGCGGGGCGAGGCTGTGATCGCACAGATGCTGGCGCGCGCACGCACTGGCCTTCATCCCCCGCGGTTCCGCCCACTCCCCTCCTCCCCCGGCGCCATGGCAACGCGAGATGGGGTGAGGGGGGCTCAGACAGTCGCACTGGCGGCACGCGTGTCCGCTGCTGCATGCAGTCATTGACCCCAGAAGGCAGGGCCTGCTGGGACTCTATAACCTCATGTAAGAGTTAAACCAGCCTCGGGAGATTACTCAAATACCTGGACTTCCATATGGTCATACATTGATTCCACAAATATCTGTCGGTGTTGGTCTATCTACTATTTCAAGCACCGTTTCAGGTGCGGGGCAGAACATGACTCCATCCCTGACATCCTCAGCTCTCCCAGTCAAGGCAGAAACAAACACGGAGGCATACAAATGCACGTTCACTTACAAACGGTGGATGGGAGCACGTACAGGGTGTGGTAAATCCGGGCTGCAGAGGTCTGAAGACAGGATTCCACTAAGGAGGGCCGTCGTGATGGGAGGGGAGGTCCAGCGTGGGCATGGCCTGTCACGAAAGTCTTCATTGGCCTCTGTGGGAACTAAAGATTTCTTAGTGAGGTGGGTTGTTGTTGTTATGTGCCGTGGAGTCAGTTCCGACTCATAGCCACCCTGTACAGGGTTTCCGAGGCTGGTGTTAGATATAAATGATACATACTGTTTTTTATTTTCAAGTCCCTTTGTCAATGGGGAGAGGGTTTTATGGCGGCAAGGTTGACAGGAGCTGGGGTGGATGGGAGTTATGGAGGGGAAGGAAGTGGGGACCATCCAGGACTGTACTATATGGTCAGGAGGGGGGCTGCAGCCTCGATGCATCCTGGTGAATGGCTGTGAGTGAGCCTTCTTATTTGCCCAGTATCTCTTCCCTCTTCCAGGGAGCAGGCTCTGGGCCCTCAGCATGACCCCCTAGGTGGTGAGTGGGTGCCCAGCTGAGAGCAGACTTCCATTCAGAACATATCAGCAGGTGTTCATCACCTGGGCAGAGACCAGGGCAAGTGGAAGGGCTGCAGAGAGGATCTCTGGCCAGCCAGACACACAAAGGCCCTTTGATGAGCCAGGATAAGTTTCTGGAGGGCTGCTCCAGAGATGGACCTGTCAGGAGGGCCTGGGGAGGGGTGAGCCCGGACACACAGCTGGAGCACCCCCAGTACCAGGCAGAATTACTGTGCTCATCTGTGGGTGGAATGGGGTCCAGAAGTCTCCCTAAGAGGTGGCTACCCAGACAGACCTCTTACCCCATTGCCCAGGTTGGAGTTTGGAATGGTCAATTCTCAGCTTAAAACTGGGATTTCCTTTGGAGGACATTATGACATCACACGTTTAGACATAGTTCCCTGACTAGGCCTGGCTGCCACCGCACTTCTGGCCTGAGTCTCCCCACCATAGCGTCAACTTGGGGTGAGCCTGCGGAAGGCACCCTCATGCACACATTTCACCGTTTCTTCTCCCGTGGCTGTGGGGGCATCATGAGAACTATTCTCTGATGATAAGGCTCTAAAAGTCTCTAGTGCTCGCTGAGGGTGCTCCAGATACAACTGCAGAGAGCCCCACAGGCACAAAGACAGCGCCTACACTGGGCGGACGTGGGACAGAGCATGCTTTGACTGGGTGCCATGTTAATGGGGGTTGGGGGAGGGGAGATTACAGCTCTTCCCTCTACTCTCTCTTCTCCTAGTTAAACTAGAGGGCCCCAGGTGAAATCCCAGCCCCTCTGGCACCCCTTTTGGAAGACATGGAAGTCTCACATACCTCCAAGGCCGGGCAGCCTGGTCTCCTCCCCAGACTTGTGCTCTTGCCCCCAAGTTTCTATGGGTGAAGCACCTCCACAGGTGGGTGGGGGGGACTCCCCGCTGACTCAGTTCTCATCAGGGAATTCCAGCCAGGCTTCAGGGTTGGGAGCACCCCACAGGGAAGAGGTTATGACCAGGGCAAGTGCCAGGCACCGTGTCAGTATGAGCAGTGGCCTTGGTGCAGACCGGGACTTGATTGGGTTTCTGGTAACCCCCAAAGGGGAAGGCACAGTGCTGCTGTCCTTGTCACCTTTCCTTTCAGACGTTCGCCTACTCCATGTGTTCATTCGATGTCAGCCACACATTTGTACGAAGGAGCCATGATGATTTCACAAAACTCCATGTGAATGACCTGGAATGGCCCTAGGTCCCCAAACTGCCTCCAATATATGACCCCATGACCCCCTTGCACAGTTCCACTCGGGGTCTGCTGTCTGGGTGGACCAGATTTCTCCAAGACCCATCTGTCCTTCCTCACTGCAGAAGAGCCTTCAAAAGACCTTCCGGATGGAGGAAGGCCTATTTCGCAGAACCAACTGCATTCTCCCAACATTTCCAGGTCAGGCCAGGGTGGCTAGGACATGGATGTGTGAGTCCAGGGAGGGGTCCCATGGTTGACCGTCATGCTTGCAGATGTGCTGCTGTTGGCGCATGGTGGGCGCGCAGCCCGTGGGCTGGTGTGTCTTGGACTCCTAGAGGCCTATACCCAGGCGCTGCTGATGGTGGCAGACTGCGTGTCCAGAGCCCAGAGCTCACTGGCTTGCTTCAAAACCCTTGGACTTGGAGCCTATGCTGCCACCTGGCAGGTGCCTGACCTACCCAACTTCCAGCCCAAAGGGACAGACTGGAAGGCTGCGGCGATTTGTGAGAAGTGGGCCCACTCCTGTCATCTGTGATGCTCCCAGCCTGGTAATCTTGCCCCCCCATGAGGAGCCTTTGCCTAGCCCTGTGGGCAGCCTTGATATCGGTCGACTGGAGGCTCAGAGTATGCGATGCCCGTAGCCCTACTGCCCTCAGCACATGTGGGGCCAAGCTTTCCATGCACAGAGCCAGGAGGTCCTGGATGGGATGCTGCAACACCCCTCAGGTGGGGCTGGGTGGGACATAGGGCTTACTTTCTGTCCCGGATCCCAGTGGGGTTTGGGGAGCTGAAACCCGCTGTTTCTACATACAGGCTGGTGGCTGGTGGCAAACCAGGGCGGACAGATGGCCTGGTTTCCCGCCCCCTACCTAGAGGAAGGCCAGGGCCAGGAGCAGGAGGGCAGCCTGCTGGGAAGGCGCAGTGGTATGCTCTCCCCACATGCCCACCAATACTGAGGCAGCCCTGGCCGCATGTGTTCCCTGTCCTTGTAACATGGGGAGCCCTTAGCTATAGGGACCTGGGGATTGTTTCAGAGTTAACCAAGGATGACAAATATGACCACCCTTCCCACCCCCAGGGCTGTGGTTCTGTGCTTTGAGTGCCTACAAGGGCTGTCTGTGCCCACGGGGGTGCAAGTAAGTGCTGAAGACGTCAGACCGCGGATGCTGGCTATGCAGGTGCGCAGGCGCAGCTTGGCCGTGGCTAAGCAGGATGAGGCTGTGGCTAAGCAGGATGAGGCTGTGGCTAAGGTATAACCCAACTCCCACCCCCTCACAGGTGCAGTGATAAGAGTGGGCAGTGCCGTCGAGGCCAGCCACACTGGGTGTACTCCTGGACCGGGTTGCCAGCATGGACCATGCCCCACGTTGAATGCGTGAAGCCTAGCTCACCAGAAGCCCCCTAGCTTTACTGAGAAAGAGTGATGGAATTCAACCCCAGATGGTCACACTAATGCTTCGGTGCTGCAGGGGAGGTGCAAGACGAGGTGGTTTTGTCTCCTTTGTCTGAGTAAAATCTGTGTTAATAAACCGTCCTGAGTCAGGTCAGACTGTGCTGAAGAGTGGGCTGGCTGTATGGTGGGTCCTCAGACTGAAGCAGAACAGATTAGAATACACCTTTATTCCCACCTCCGAGGGCTGCAGGGGCAGGGAGCGGGGACAGTTTCATGTTGTGCCACATAAAATCCAAGAAAGTGGCTGCCTGCAACGTCCGGCTGAGCCGCTGAAAGTGGCGTTCTGGGGGCAGACAGAGGGAGTCAGGAGGTACCCAGAGCCCAGCGCCTGCCCACCTGCCTGCCCCAGGCTGCCAACGCACCAGTGTAGGGCAGCAGGGCCTCCAGCGCGGCCCGAGCCCCTTCATAGGCCAGCAGCTCCTCGGGGCTCTCGTGACGCAGCAGTAGAGTGAGCACAGCCTGTGCCTCATGGCAGTGACGCGAGTTCGTGTTCCAGGTGGCACAGAACCGCAGTAGGGCCTCTGCCATGACAGGATGGTCAGCCTCACCCCACTGGCCACCCCCTCACCCTGACCCGCCCGCCTGCTGGATCTCTGACCTTTCTGATCTCGCCGCAGCCCCAGCACCGTGGCTTCCAGCTCCTCACAGGCCTCAGGGTCCCTGCGGATGGCTGGGGAGGAGGGCGGCTGAGTCCCGGGGAAGGGGCTCCCTGAACCCAGACCCCCCTCCCCCACCCCTCTAGCATGGCACTGACCCTGGATAACAGTTAGCACGGTATGGGGCCGGTCCAGGGAAATCGCCAGGCCCAGCGCCCGCAGGTAACGCCTCTCGTGAAGCAGGTTGTCCAGTTCCTGCTGCCTGTGGGGAGGAGGGGGATGGTGAAGGGGGATATGGGCTGCTGCACAGGGCAGGATGGGGGGCACTCACTTGACCAACTGCTCCTCCCGCTTGGCCTGCTCCTCCACCTGCTCCTCCTCTGTCACGTCCTGGGATGACACGGGGGTCAGACTGGCCTCCAGCGTTCCCCATCCGCCCAACCCCATGCCCCCCACCTCACACCTTCCAGAGGATGACACGGGAGTCACTGCCGCCGGTGAGGGCGCGGTCATCCAGCCGGCTGCAGTGCAGGCCCCAGACCTTGTCCTCATGGGCGTCCAGCGTACGCACGCATTCATTGTTCTTGATTGTCCAGAGCTTCAAGAGCCCGTCAGAGCCGCTAGGAGCAGATGGGTAGAGGGCAAGGGGTTAGGGGGCAGTGCAGAGTCTGACCTGCTGGGACAATCCTGCCCAGCCCCAGCCTGCTGACCTGGACAGCAGCTGCGTGCCCCGGCTCACAAAGGTCACCTTTAGCACAGAGGCGTCATGTCCCTCAAACGTCTGTGGGTGGGGAGATGCGGAATGAGGTGCTGTCAATTGGGGGTTGGGCTGGGGGGTGGGGCACAGCTCACCTTGAGGCAGCTAAAATCATGGAGGGCCCAGAGCTTGAGGGTGCCATCGGCCGAGGCGGTAGCCAGCACTTGGTCCATGGGTGAGAACTGCACGCACCAGAGGCCACGCCGGTGGCCCGAGAAGACACCTAGCAGTTGGCACTGTGGCAGGGCCCAGAGCTTGGCTGTGCGGTCCTGGGAGCCCGTGGCCAGCAGCTTGTCATTGGGTGCTATGGCCACACTGTTGATGTCCTGGGGAAGGAGCAGGCCGCTGGTTTACACTTCAGCCCAGGCCCGCTTCACCGTGCTCTGCCCGGCGGGCAGCCCCTACAGTTACCTTGTCGTGGCAGCGCTGGGTAGCCTGGGCCTGCAGGAGAACAGGCTCTCCACTGGGGACGGTGTTCTTAGACAACAGGGCTTCAGGGAGTGGCCACAGCTTCACTGTGCAGTCCTGGCTGCCTGTCACCAGGAATGACTCCTTCAGCCTGTGGTCAGAGCAGGATAGAGACGCTGTCACTCCCACACAGCTGGTTAGGTAGGGTTGCTGTCAGGAAGCCGGTTCTGACTCATAGTGACCCTGAACTGGGTTCTGGGGCTGTAAATCTTGGCAGAAGCAGAACGCTTCATCTCTCTTCAGAGGAAAGCTGGTGTGCTGGAATCGCTGACCCAGTGCTTGTCCCACAGAGCCCCATACCCCCTCTTACTAAGGTGGAGTTGGCAACAAGTCACGCATTTTTCTCATGTCAGTTGCTCACAGCTGAGTGTTTCTGTAGGAGCTTTTTCCCTAGCACTCTTCCGGTCACCTTTGGGACTAAAGTCCCTAGCCCCCACCACCCCAATTACCTCACCCAATGAGCAGGCCCAACAAGGCGCCCCCAGCCCCACATGCAGAGTGGGCCTGCCCTGTCCTGGCCTCTCCTCATGGCCTCCCTTTCCCCCTGACCGCAGCCTCACTACCTAGAGCAGCAGACGGTGCCCACGCTGTGTGCGTGCCCAGAGCCCTGAGCCACACAGGTCACCTGGCCGGCCTTGTTCATCCTCCAGATGCGAACACTCTGGTCCTGGGGAGAGGAGGGAGTGAGGAGACGGCCCTTGCCTTCGTTGCCTACCTGCACATGGCCTGTACCTTCGTGCCTCTCAGGGCGCCTCACCTTAGCACAGCTGACAAAGAGCCACCCCTTCCGGAACACATCCAGCGCCAGGACTATATCTGGGGGGAGGAAGAGGGCTGGTTACAGGCTAGCCCGTCAGCGGAGGGCAGGTCTAGGCACTCTTGGGCAGCCGAGGTGCACCTGTGTGGCCATGGAGGATTTGGCAGTTTGATGTCTGCAGCTCAAACACCTTCAGGCAGGGACTGTTAGAGGCCACAACGACATGGGAGTCTTCGGGGCCCAGAAACCGGACATCCAGCACCTCCTCGCTGTAGCCAGCAAACTGTGGGGACAGGAAGGACACAAGGGGTGTGTGTGGGGAAAGGGTGGCTCTATAGGACCTGGCTGCCCAGGGACAAGCGCTTACCTGCTTGCGCAGCTGCAGGGAGCGGGCCTCGTAGAGCAGCAGGTTGTGGTCTGCGGTGGCACTGAGGAGTAGGCCAGCAGCGGGGGCTAGGACGCAGTGCGTCAGCTGCAGCCCGGGGCCTGGCAGCCTCGGCTGTGTGTACACACACTGTCCAGACGCTGCCTCCCACACTCGCAGCGAACCTGGGTGAGGACAGGGACACTGGGACCTGTAGGCCTTGGGGCCTGCCCCAGCCCCACCGCCCACCTTGCTCCTGAGGCCCAGCCCCTCTCACCCTGGTCACCAGCTGTCAGGAAGTGCAGGCCCGGAGATTTCACGCCCAGTTCGGGTGCCAGCTCCTCTGGTAACAGCAGTGCAGCCTCCACGCTCTGGGGATGAGCCGGCTCAGAGGGTGCTACCAGGACCCCTCTCCCCCACCTCTTTGACCCCAGCAGCCCACCTCAAACACTGGCACCGTCCGCGTAGTCTGGCGGCTCCGAAGGTCCCAGATGATGCAGATCTTGTCGCGGCCGGAGCTGGGAGGGAAAAGAGCTGCCTCAGATCAGGAGCCTCGGCCAAGTGCCCTCCTTCTCCCCAAGGCCCGCCGTGGTTTGCCCACTTGCCTGAGCATGGTGTGGCCATCGGGACTGAAGGCCAGTGAGGTGACAGCACTGTAGTGGGCAGTCAGCACAGCGAGGCAGGACCTGTCCTGCAAGGACCACACGCGGATGGCAGCGTCAGCAGCCGAGGAAAAGAGCAGCAAGTGTGCAGGGTCCGGATGGAAGGCCACCAAACTGCAGCAGAGGCAGGCATGTGAGATCTGTGCTGCCCTGGCCCGGTGCCCACCTCTGTCCGCTCCTGGTCACATCACTCACTGGACAACGCCGGGGGAGCCCTTAAAGTGGTGTGTCCCGTAGTGCCGGATGACGTCCCAGACGCGCACGGTCCCATCACAGCCACCTGCAGGCCACATGTGTGAGGGGTGGGGGCTGTTGCCAATACCCTCTGGCCTGTCCACCCAGCTGGGGCCCTACCTGTGGCAAGCAGTGTGGAGGTAGGGTCAAAGGTCATGGTGGCCACAGGGGCGGTGTGCACTGCCTTCCACAGGCGGGTGACACTGCCCTCTCGCCAGGCCCACTGGGCCAGCAGTAGGGCCCGGCTGGCTGTCACCAGCACCTGGGGGAGGTGATGTGCTTGTGGTCAGCTGGGAGAAGGGATTGGCCACCCCTCCCTTGCAGACAGATAGAGTGCTGTACTCCACCCCCAGTCCCAGCACCTGGTCATCAGGGCTGAGGTCAAAGGCAGTGATGTCCTCCTGGTCCTCCTGGGGACAAGAGTGGGCACACAGTGTGGTAAGTAAGGAGACCTTTCCACTCTACTTGCCCCCACCTAACTTTCCCCTCACCTGCTCTAGGCTCCTCAACACAGTCCCCGAGGCCACCTCCAGCACATTGACCCTGGTACCACAGATGCAGAAAAGGTGCTGTCCGGCCTGGTCCAGCTGGGGATGGAGCAGTCTTGGTTGGACAGTGTTCCATACCCCCACCCAGCCCCCTCCCCTCTCCCTGCCCCACCCTCAGCAGTACCTGCACTTTCCCGCCCTTGTAGAAAGGCTCAATCTTCTGCTCGGAGGCGTAGCTGGAGGGAGGATGGGGGAGTGAGGGAACCACCTGGTCCCAAGGCTGGTGCTCATGACCGGATGGAGCCCTGCACCTGAGGACCTGTTCCCCAGGAGAGGGCTGATGGGACTGGGGGCCCCTGGCCACCAAGAGTTAGTGCCCAGCCTGAGCTCTCCACTATCACTTGTTTGAACTCCCTGCAGCTGCCTCCCCCTAGAACTGGGAGATCCACATAGGATCCCACCTAAGTTAAGCGCAGGCTCATCAGCAGCCAGGTGAAGAGTGCAGAGCTGGATGGGCCTTGGGGGCCCTCTGCTGGCTGAGTGAAGCCAAGACTGGTAAGGCAGCCTAGACAAAGCATAGGCACCCCCCTAGGACCTGCCTCCCCAGCTGGGCCCCACTGGGGGGCAAGGTCTCTCCTCTAAATAGCTGTTCCAGGCCTCCACCTGATCCCTCCACCCTGCAGCCATGTCCCTCCGTGCCCTGTTTAAAACCGTCATCTTCTCCCCTTAGGATCCCCCAAGGTCTCTCCCAAAGGGGCCTCTGCTAACCTCTCCGGCTCCCCACTTCCCTCTCACAAGCCACCATGCAGGCCTGGTGCTCAGAGTCCAACACCTTTGATGGCTGCTCCCTGTGTGAGGCCTGAGTCTCTCTTTCCCCAGTTTCTATACTTGGTTAACTTGACTCCCAAGATGAAACCAAGCCCCTACTACTGATAAGACCCCCAAAATAAGATGTACCCCAGAAAGCTTGCCTCAGGTCTGCGCCTGCCCCAAATATCCTGAGTGATTTCAAGTAACAAAAACCTGACAGGTTTCAAAGGCTCTATGTCCCCAACAATCTCCAATTGTAGCTGTGAGCTTAAATCCAATGTAACAAGATGTAGATAAACCTCGAGTGTCAGTTCCCAGAAGAGGCCCAGACAGTCTCGGAAAACAAACACCAGGTGCCAGATTACAGGGACGTGTTGTGTTCCTTCTGTATCCGGATTGCTCCCCTAAAGTTTTAACCTTTTAAGCCGCCCCAACGGACAGACAGCTCAGGGCTGCAAACCTTTGAGAGCTTGCTTTAGCCCGTTTGCAGACGCTGGTCAGCAATAAAGACTCTTCGTGTCCTTCTTGTGTCTCCGGTGAGGTCTCTCCAATCTCGCACTCCGATTCTCAGGTCTAACACTACCGTTACCCAGACTGCTCTTAACATCAACACTGCTCATTCCTAGTGCTTTTTACAACCTACCGTTGGCAATGGAAATGGATTTGCTTAAACATAGTGACATAGTGCTTAAGTGCTGGGCTGCTAACTTAAAGATTAGTGGTTCGAACCCACTGGCCTCTCCGAGGAATGATATGGCAGTTGTTGTTGTTGTTATTAAGTGCCGTCGAGTCGGTTCTGACCCATAGCGGCCCTGTACAGGGTTTCCCAGGGTGTAAATCTTTACGGGAGTAGAAAGCCTCATCTTTCTCCTGCGGTGCAGCTGGTAGTTTCGAACCGCTGACCTTAAGGTTCGCAGCCCAATTCGATATGGCAGTAGGCTTCGGTAAAGCTTACAAGCAGCCGTAGGAACCCTATGGGGGCAGAGCTACCCTGTCCTGTCGGGTCTCTAGCTGCAGCAGTGACGCCACCGCAATGGGTTTGGGTTTGCGGCTACCCCATCGGACAGCGCTTCACAAGGCGAAAATTCAAGACTGAGCCGCCCCGGCACTAGGCACTGGCCACATGTTCTAGCTCAGGAGTCCTGCCCCTTGGGAAAGAAGGCGCACGGTGGAAGCTCTCAGGATGCCCGAGTGGGGAACCCCATTCCCGCCCAGGACCAGCTCCGACGGGGGCTCAGGCCATCGCGCCCCCTTCTTCCGGGACTCTCGGCGCTGCTCCACGCCCCCAAACAGGATTCCCATTCCACCGCCAGTAGCGGATCCGGCCAGATTCCCGTCCCCCCCCCCAACACCTTGTATTACCGCGGCAGTCCCGCATCAGGCGTACACAGCCCGCACCCATCCCCAACCACCGGACGTCCATTTCGCAGCGGGCGCTGCTCCACGCATCCCTTCAACCCCATCCCGCCTGGGAACCTGGTTCCCATCCCGAGCGTCGCCCGCGACCCCTGGCTCACTTGGCCTTGAAGCGGCTCACTCCGGCCGCGGCCTCCGCCATATCTCCGGTCCACCTAGGAGCCTCTAGAGACGCCGCCTCAGCAGCCGCGTGAAGAACCTGAGCCTTACTCCGTGCTCCCGGCGCTCGGCGATGGCGTCATCACCCGCGACCGCGTCATTGGCACTGTGCGTGCCGCGCCATCTTTGATGTGGGCGGTAGCTGCACCATCGTAAAGGGTTCTGCGGGAAGGCGTTTCTGGTTTGCAGAGTGCGGATGTGACCCTCTAGGGATCTTACCTCTTAATGGAAATAACTATTCGTAATAATTCTGGTGTGGTGCTGTACAATAAACACTGGACTGCTAACCATAAGGTTGGCGGTTCAAACTCACCAGTCGCTCCATGGAAACCCTATATATAGGGCGGCTATGAATCATAGCCGACTCTTGATTTCTAAAGTAACCTCCAAATTTCTGCCTCCTCTGCATTCTGGAATATGGGGCTCTGGTAGCGTAGGGTTAATGAATCGGGCTGCGAACTGCAACGTCAGCAGTTCGAAACTACCAGCTGTTCCCCAAGAGAACGATGAGGCATTCTGCTCCCCTAAAGATTTACAGCCTCGGAAACCCTGTACAGGGTCGCTATGGGTCGGAACCGACTCCACGGCACATCATCACAGCAGGAGGAAGTGTTGCGAAACAGGCTGAAGAACTGCACCCCTCCTAAATAGCAGGGTCAGTGGTGTGACTGCAGGGGTGGTTACGAGTCAGGCTGCTAATCTCACCGTCAGCAGCTGGAAATTAGCAGCCGTTCTGCGGGAGAAAGATGAGGCTTTCTGCTCCTGTAAAGACTTACAGCCTCGGCAACTCTGTACAGGGTCGCTGAGACAGAACCAACTCCATGGCACATAATCACCACCACCAACCCAGGAAGGAGGCTGGGAAATGAGACAGGAATAGGAGGGGAAGTCCTCCAGGCCAGGGAACAGCCAGTGCAAATACCCGGGTGAGAAAGAACCTAAAGAAGGTGTCAAAGCACTTCTGAGGGATGAAGAGAGGAGACTGGAGAGGTAGGCAGGGCCAGCGAACAGAGGTGCCAGGGGGCAGGCCTGGGTTTCACCTTTATTTCTCTATGTACAAGGTAGTACTTTAGCCCTGGGAACCCCACAGCCCAGCTCCACTGCTGCTTTCTGGGCCGGCCTCAGATGCCTCCTCCCTGTCAGGGGCACCCAAGAGCAGGGAGTTGTCATCTTCCAGGAAGTCAGCGAGCTTGGCCAGCTGCCTGCGGATGGAGGTGGTGGAGCGCTGCACCCGGCGCACTCGCCGTAGCAGGTGAGACAGCAGGGCCTGGCTGCGTTCCGTTCCTGGCGACGTTTCCAGGCCTCACGCAGTTCCCGGTAGCAGTTGTGATTGGCCCGCTCTTCTAGGCCCAGGGTAGCCCCGCAGCCCAGGGGACAGCGCTGTTGGTCACTGTGCTGACAAATCTGCCCATGATCTGCCAGGGAGCCGCGTGGCACCCGCACTGAGCAGCCCTCGTTGGGGCAGGTTATCAGTTCAAATGGGCATGCGTCCTGATGCACCTTCCGATGGGCCAGGGGGCAAATCACCAAACAGCCAGCCTCTGAGTTCTTGCACTGGGAAAGAGAAGGGTGCCTTGTGAGCAAAGCCTGGGGGGGCGGGGGTGGGGGACAGTGTCACCTAGACCTTCTCCACCCAATCCTACATTTCAGAGCAGGAACCAGAGAATTCAGGTCAGACCAAGCTCATTTGACTTTAGGGCTGGTGGGAAGAGTGGACCATTGCTTGGAAGTGGGCAAGGTCTGAGTCTTGAACAGGGAGGTACATGGCCATGTTGGTCTGGCATACTAGGATTGTCTTTAATCCTGCAAGTTAACCCTTCCACTTCCCCATCTGTAAAATTTGGGAGCAAACAGTAACTGCTGGCTGGCACTTTATCCTCTAAGTGGCAGAGCCTAGATTCACACTCAGCCCGGTCTGATGATTCCCCCCGGGGCTTGAGAGAACTCCCTGGGTTTTCCTGGAAGGTGAGTTCTCCCTCCTGTCTCCCGCCACCCCTTTCTAAACTGGAAAGGGCTGTGATAACTACCCTGACTTCCAGGAGTCCAATGGTTTTCTGGAGCTTATTCACAGGGGCCATCCTTTTCCGTTTCACCTCTTTCCTACAATAGGGACAGGTCTTCTGTCTGGAAGAGTGAGAGTAGAGTGGGGGGAGTGGCAGCCATATGCCTCCCCTGGCTATGTCCTCACTGGATGAACCCTCTCCTCTCCAGCCTCGGCTCAAAGGAGGCAGGAAGGGACCACTCAAGGGAGCTTTGAGGGTGGGGTGGCCTGAGGATCAGCACTGGACTGCAAACCCCAAGGTCAGCAGTTCAAACCACCAGCTGCTCCTTGAAAACTCTACAGAGTTGCTGAGTGGGAACTGACTCGACTGCACTTAACAAGCAGACACCACGTAGGGCTCCCCAGCATCTTCACGTTGGCCTTGGTGGGCAAGTCTAAGGCATTGTGACCCAAGGCTTGGGAGACCTTCCCCTGTCCTGGTACACTAGGCCCACCTGGTCAGCCATTGGAGAATGCACTTCTTGCAGAAAACGTGGCCGCATGGCAACCGCATGGGTCTCTTGAGCACCCCATGGCAGACGGAGCACAACAAGTTGCAGTTGGGAGGGCTGGCAAAGAGGTTGAGATCATACCCTCCACTCTGTAAAAGCCAGGTCATTGTCAGGGTAGGACCCAGGATCTGTTTCCCCACCTCCAGGTACCTGGAGAGACTGCTTTTCATGAGGACCTGGAGTGGAGGGGCTGGGTTAACACCTGCGTTATTCCAGACTCCGCAAGCCCACCAGCTTCAGCTGAGAGAAGCTAACTTCAGTCTGGAGGGGACATTGCAGTGGAAACCTACTCCACATGGGGGGGGGGGGGCCCACAACTCTGACCTCCAGTTTCTTAGCAGTCTGGTCCAGCCCTGGGCAGGTGTCCAGAAATGAATACCCATCTGAGGGCAGGCAGTAAGAAATGTCTGGACTCACCATGATCTCTGTGGGGACAGCAGCTTCACTGACCCCAGGGCACAGGGAAGCCTGCAGTTCACAGTGGGAGGGGTCCACATCACAGTGGCATTGTCCTGCTCAGGCCAATCAGCTCTGGAGGCTACAGGGTCCACCTGGCCCTTGGCCTACACATCCCTAAGCAGCAGAGGGCTCATCCTCTCTCAGAGCTGTTTAGACTTCCACAGGGATCCCAGTCTTGTGTGCTAGGTTTCAGGACCCAGAGATGAAATTGGAAAAATCCAGTGAAACAGTAGGGAGTGGTTCCTGGAAATACTGAGAAGACATTCAAGGCCAGCCTGTTCCCATAAGGGAGGAAACGAACAGGAAACTGGGTTCTGAGTATTTAGTTTCACTTAGATTTAGCCTGACAAACCCTAAAGGACCCTATCCTACAGCGACAGGGGAACAAAGCCAGGATTTGAGCGGAGAACCTCACACTCCAGTTCTTGCTAAAGGTGTGCTGGCCCGAACCAAATCACTTCAGGCCAATGCAGCCTCTCCGAGTTATGGAGAACCGAGGGACACGTCGGGGGAAACGGGCAGATCAGGGTTCCACACCCTTGTCCATATTCAGGGGGTGCCACCCGTGGACCCTGAGACGCAACTAATCCACCGAGGAGTCTGCCACCTACTGGACCTCCATAGTCTCATGTGGAACCAGCATCAACAGGCGCGCCGCTGACAGACAAACGCGAGTTCATCAGACAATCGGCTTTATTTGAGGGGGGGGGGAGCCGCCCTTCCCGCCCCCCGTGGTCCCGGCGGCGGCGTCGTGCGCAGACTCCACCAGCAGTGCCCTGCGGAGAGAAAGGAGGCTCAGAGGCTGGGCCGGCCGGGCAGGCGGGCGGTAAGCACAGCGGGCCGTGTCGGGGACTGGGTTTCGGGCGCCCACACTGAGGCAGTGGGCGGCGAGCTAAGACCCCTGGTGGCTCTGGGCGCCGTATCTCACTTATGGCCACGGGCGAGGCCGCAAGCGATTTTCAGCCAGCGCCGGACCCCCGCCCAAGGACCCGCGCGCGACTCGGCACCGCACGATGCGAGGGGCGCAGACCTACCCAATAGGGACCACAACCAGAGAAACACGCCGGAAAGGGAGGAGGACGACGGGCGTACCTTTATAGCGGCGCTGACGCGTCACGCACGTGCCAGACCCCGCCTGGACCTTCGGCACGTACAGCGTGTAGGACGGAGTGTCTCGGAACCAATCACAGAGTACGCCGAGGCTCCAGGTTTGCTCAGGCTAGGGGCGGGCAGTCTAGATCTCGCGACAGCTGGTGAGATATAAAAGCATCCTCCCGCGTACAGTCGTTCTTCTTCTCCGAGAAAACACGTGAGTGTTATTTGGAATGGCGGCAGCGCGCGGCCTGGGAAGCAGAAATCCGCGGCCATCGGGCTGGGCAGGAACCTGTGGGCTACTGTCCAGGCCTGGTTTCGCTCGCGGGAGGCCGCGGATATGAGGCTTCACTGACTGGTTCTTGTCGCTTTCTTTAGCAAATGGCGGATGACGCCGGTGCAGCGGGAGGGCCCGGAGGCCCCGGGGGTCCGGGGGCGGGAGCCCGCGGTGGCTTCCGCGGAGGCTTCGGCAGTGGTCTGCGGGGCCGGGGTCGCGGCCGTGGTAGGGGCCGTGGCCGAGGCCGCGGTGCTCGCGGAGGCAAAGCCGAGGACAAGGAGGTAGGTTCCGGGGTGCTCGTGGGGCCCGTGGGCGCTGCCGGCCATCAGGGGCTCCACTCATCCGCCCGTTCCTCTTTCAGTGGCTCCCTGTCACCAAGCTGGGTCGTCTGGTCAAGGACATGAAGATCAAGTCCCTGGAGGAGATTTACCTTTTCTCCCTGCCAATCAAGGTACTTATGGGGCTCACTTGGTTTTTGTCTTCGCCATTTTCCGGCCATTGATTGAGGGACCCACGATTCTGGTTTTTGAGGGGCGTGTGTGTCACCTGTGTGAAATCTGGTGTCTGACACCGTGAAGCATTAAACAGCACTGTGGTCGTCTCAGTGATCTGTAGAATAGTACACTTGCCCAATAGGGTCTCTTAAGATACATCTTGATCCCTTAGTTTACAGTGGTTTTAATCTATAAGGTAATCACAGGTAGATTTTAGGACCCCTAGCTTAGTCCACTGCACTGCCAGGGTCCCTTTTTACTGAGTGTCTCGTGTTCTTTCTCTGCAGGAGTCTGAAATCATTGATTTCTTCCTGGGAATGTCCCTCAAGGATGAGGTTTTGAAGATCATGCCTGTGCAGAAACAGACGCGTGCTGGTCAGCGGACTAGGTTCAAGGTACCCTGGCAGCGACCTATGTGCCTAAGGGGCCTCTCCCAGCTCTGCATGGTCATACCTGCTCCAAACAAGTGTGACTTTCGTAATGTGGAGAGAGAGGAAGGCTCTTCTCTGGACCCGGGGTAGGCCTCTCTGTGGCCTCCCTTCCCAGAGTGGGGCAACATTCCCTGGGCCGTGGGGACTGGCAGGCATGGGTCAGCTCAGGCACTGGCCAGCACTCACTTTCCATGTCTTTGCAGGCGTTTGTCGCCATTGGGGACTACAATGGTCACGTTGGCCTAGGCGTCAAGTGTTCCAAGGAGGTGGCCACAGCCATTCGCGGGGCTATCATCTTGGCCAAACTGTCCATCGTCCCCGTGCGGCGAGGCTACTGGGGGAACAAAATCGGCAAACCCCACACAGTTCCTTGCAAGGTATGATTCTGGAAGTGAAAGCAAGGGGGCCTTGGGTGGAGCGTAGACTTTCCAGGGCCCTGACCTTCTGCCCTTACAGGTGACCGGCCGCTGTGGCTCTGTCCTGGTGCGTCTCATCCCTGCGCCCAGAGGCACTGGCATTGTCTCAGCCCCTGTGCCCAAGAAGCTGCTGATGATGGCTGGTATTGATGATTGTTACACCTCGGCAAGGGGCTGCACTGCTACCCTGGGCAACTTTGCCAAGGCCACCTTTGATGCCATCTCCAAGACCTACAGCTATCTCACCCCTGACCTCTGGAAAGAGACTGTGTTCACAAAATCTCCCTACCAGGTACTAGTCTCCCAGTGTGTGTGTATGGAGGGGGGTGGGCAAAGGGCTCTGTGTTCTGCAGCTGAACCCTTGTTCGTCTTTCCAGGAGTTCACTGATCACCTTGTGAAGACCCACACCAGAGTCTCTGTGCAGAGGACCCAGGCTCCAGCCGTGGCAACCACATAATAAGAGGCTTTGATAAAAAAGAAATAAAAGTGAATTCAGCCTGTTGGTGTCTGTTTGTATTCTCATAATTGTAGCTATGTCTTGTGTGAGGGATGGGAAAAAAGCCAAGTCTTTGGTAACCACAAAATAAAACACACCCAATGGAAGAAACAAAGCCTCTCACACATGGGTGGCCAGGAGTCAGAAGTGACTTTAATTCAGGACAATAGTTACAGGGGAAGGGGGCGATGATCAGGCAGCCGCAGCCTCCTTTGCAGCTTTCCTCTCTGCCAGCATCCTCTGCTTCTGCTTTGCCAAGCACTTCCTGGCAGAGTAATGGGCCCCCAGGTCATGGTCTAGGAGGGGACAGAAAGTCTCAGAAAAATGGAACTTCAATGCACAAGTTCTGTCATTACCATATCTTAAAACATGAGTTATTTTACTGTAGACAATAAACTTGGGTGGAAAATCCAGGTGAACTTGGGGCTGGGCTGGGGTGCAGGAGGGCGGCACTCACAGCGGTCCTGGAAGGCCTTGGACACTTGCTTGAACTGCTCCAACTCTGGGGCACAGTTCTGTCTGTAGCTCTCGCCCTCCCTCTGCTGACAGGCCTTCATCCTCTCCTGGATGATGTTGATGATCTCCTGGTCAACTTTGCTGAAAGCAAGGCAGTTGGGAAACAGTGATCATCCTGTACTCCTTGACCCCAAACCAAGCCCTCTGCTAAGGATCCTGATTCAGTCTTCCAACTTGGCCACCTTGTATAGGGTTCCTGAGAAGCAGCTGATGGGTTTGCACAGTAAACCTTGAGGTTCAAACTGACCTTAGGGTCTAGTGCTTTGTCTTGAAATGCCACCCTGTAGGACAGAGTGAAACTGCCCTGTTTATAGGAGCAGGCTGCCATGTCTGAAGGAGCTTAATAAACTTGGTGAAGGAAACTTTTCCATAAGCTTATTAAACCCCCCTGATATTTCTCCTGGGGACCACCTCAGCATCCCCGACTGACTGGAGGGGAGGGAGGTGCTGAGTTGCACAGGGCCAGGGGCCAGCACATACAAGTCCCTCCGCCACTGCATCTCCGCCTCGAACATGCACAGCACATCCTTCTCCTGGCACTCGGTGATGTCTGGCACGCGGCGGAACTGGCGGTGGTAGTAGTAGAATCGGTTCTTGGCGTGTTGCTGCTCAATGAAATCTGCAGAGAAGAACCCAGGGCCCAATGACCCTCATCAGCACTGCCACTGAAGACACCCACTCCCCAAATGGACCTGGCTTTTACAGTGGGCAACTTGGATTGGAAGAAGAGGTGTGGCAGGTGATAAGTCTTGGGAAGGATGGGAATACAAGGGAGGTGCACCAAGTTCCTGGGGGCTATTCTTCTGAAGCCCCCTCAGACAAGGGACTGAGGCCAGCTGGGGAGTGAACTCAGGACAGTGGCCAAGATGCCCACTGTCCTGGCACTACTGTGGTGGGAGCCTGCTACAACCTGACCACCAGTCCAGCTCTGCGACCAAGGCCACCTTTGGGCCACAGCTTCCCCAGCAGAGCCATAAGCAGCTGGACCTAATGAGATTGTGTCCCGGTATTGCACAGACTTTCGAAGACGTCACTGCAGAAGGACAGCATCCTTAGCAGAGCAGAGTCCGAAAAAAGAGGAAGACCCTCTCAACAAGATGAATTAACGCAGTGAATTCCAACAGTGAGCTCACACGGGATGGTACAGGGCCCGGCTGGGGTCATTCAGTCGCTCTGACTCACGGAACAGCAACAAGAAATCGCTACTCGAGTTGGCCCTCGGCTATACCGACTGCAGACCCTCGGGTTAGTTACAGGCAAGACCTGCCAAGGGAGGTCAAGGGAGGCACGCACATTGCTCGGATGCTGAACAGGATTCAGGGGAGCTTCTGGATTAAGAAAGACTAGGAAGAAAAGTGACCAATTTAAAAAACTCAGTAAGCCTATGGAGCTTGGTCCTGGGGATATCGTGGAGTGGGTGGTGATGGGTCAGGGGCTAACAGGATCGTCACCAGATCATCACATATGCCCCCATGTGATTTGTTAATGAAAGAACTGGTTCATTAAATGAGCAGATGAAGTGTGTGACTCAGAACTGAAGACAGAGCTGGACCCCAAACAGAGTGACCAGCTCTCTAGTGGGCTCCCCCTGGAGATGGGGGAGGACACAGGCCCACACTGAATTCAGGCAAATTACAGAACATTCAGATTGGGGGGCCTCGGCCATCACTGACCAACTATCCTGACATTCTGTGGGCACGGGTTTGTGGCCACAGTGGGGAAGTGACCCCTAGTGGGTGTCCCTCCCTCCACTGCTGATGCTCAGTGTTGTGGGGAGACTGAGGCCCAATGTGCACAAGATGGTTCTGACCTATAACCCCTGATGTTTGGGGGTGAGGTGGACCAGGAGCTAGGGGTGCAGTGGAGGAGTTTCCAGGGGGCAGGCAGTATGAGGCTCGCTTGGGGAAGGGGGCTCCTGGAAGGTGGGACCCTGAGACCAGCAAGGGAACCAAGGAGGTGAGGGGAACGGAGGATGCGCCCAAGGTACTGGGGTCCAGGGAGTGTTGGGGTGCTGGCGGGTGGAGAGGCACCGTGTCTAGGGATGTCTGGGGAGTAGGGGTCTGGGGTGCACTGGTGTCCCTGTGAAGCCCCGCGGCCCGGAGCTTTGGAAGGTAAGCCGGGGTGCAGGGCACAGTGGGTATCTGGGGGTGCACTGTGGGGGTGTTCCAGTGAGGGCCCAGGCCCAGGCGTGTGCCGGGGGCGGCAGGGGGTGTTCTGGGCAGTGAGATTGGGGTGCAGTGGTGGGGTTCCTCTGAGGCGCCATGCGGGGATGTCCGGGAGTGCCTGGGGTCCGTACCTCTCACGAGGGTCACGGGCCGGTCCACGAGGAGGTCGAAGGCCTTGGACACGTAGGTGATGGGGTTGGGCAGCGAGGTCTGAGGCGAGGGCGCCGGCGTGCGGCGCGGGGGCTCGGGGTACACGTCCTTGTCCCAGCTGTCCGGCATGGCTGCGGCGGACGGCAGGGTCAGCTCCCCGGCTTCAGTCTTGGCCTCGCTTCCGCGGCCTAGTTCGCCCGCTGCGAAGGACTCCGGGCCGGCGCGACTGCGCATTGGCGGATGGGTGGCGCGAAGCACCAAGGGACTTGTAGTCCGTGGGCCCCCGCTTTGGCCTGGTTCTGCATACGCCTAGCAACACGGGCGCCCCCCGTGGTACCTCCGAGTCGTTGCACTCGCTCCTCCGTAAGTCTCCGTTCCTAGAGCGCCTACTACGTGCTGGGCATTGGTCTGGGCACTTGGAATAAAGTAAATACAGTATTGAATGAAACAGACATATCGTGATTATGAAGTTGTTAAATGTTGTCAAGTCTGTTCTGACTCATAACAACCCTGTGTAGGATTTCCCAGGAGCTGTTGGTGGATTTGAACCGCTGACCTCATGGTTAGGAATCCAGTGCTCATCTTATAGAGCCACACCAGAAATCCATCAAGTCGGTGACTCATAGCAAGTCCACGTGTATCAGAATAGAACTGTGCCCCCCCAGCGTTTTCAGTAACTGTGACCTTTCAAAACTAATCACCAGGACTTTCTTCTGAGGTGTCTCTGGTGAACTTGTAGCTCTAACCTTTCCATTAGACATGAATATGGTAATCATTTGCATCACCCAGTGACTCCAAGATAAATATAGCCCTGAGCACATGGGGAGCACATGCTGGTAGAGCAGACACAGCAAATAAGTCAATGGATAACATGGACTGCAAGATCCCTACCCCTCCAGGAAGCCCTCCTGGATTGTACAACCCTATGTGGGCTTCTCTGTCTCTCCCTGAGCCTTCTCATGGACTGCCTGATGATCTTGCCTGGGCTGAGCAGGGGCTAGGTCTCCTACCTGGGCATCTCATATGGGTTCATATGGACATATGGGCCTCATATACATGTGAAAACTGGACAACAAATAAAGAAGCCTGAAGAATGACGGATGCCTTTGAATACTGACTATAACATGGGCTGTCAGAAGAATGAACAAACCTGTGTTGGAAGAAGTCTAGCTAGGATAGCTCCTTGTCGTTGTGAAGTGCCGTCGAGTCGGTTCCACCTCATAGTGACCCTGTATAGGGTGACTGAGGAACAACTGGTGAGTTTGAACCACTGAGCTTGCAATTCAAAGTGACCTTGTGGTCAAGTGCTTACCCTGCAGCACCACACCAGGACTCTGAGAATGTTCCTTAGAAGCATTCTAAAGTGAGAAGCTAAGTATTCTTGTTTCCTGGTGTGTCCCCCACAAACTGTGGCCCTTAAACACCCTTCAAGCCTGAAACTGATCCCATCCGTGGGGGTCACCTTCCAGCCAAACGTGAACAGTACCACCTGGGAGGAATGCAGTCCTTAGAACAGTCCTATGGGACCAAAAGGATACCATTTGCCCACAAACAAAGCCCAGGAGACAGGGACGGGAAAGGACCAACCAGGGGAAACAGTGGGAAAACCACTGTTACATCAGGAGCATTACAAACAACAGCACAAAATAAAAGGTGGAGTCATTGGAATGGAAAACTGCTTTGCTCTGTAAATGTTCACTCAAACTACAGTTTACAAAAAAGGGGTGCACTAACAATAACCTTGAAAAAAAATCAAATCACCATTAAAAAGAAGTATTCTGGGACCACAGGCATTGAAGCTGGATCACAGAGAGGGAGATACCCACCACTCACGTCCACCCCTGTTGTTTGTTTAGCCTGGGCCCACAGCCCTCAAAATAGGAACCCCTTCTGTGTCCAGAGTGAAAATTGAGCTCAGTCCTTTCAGAGAGACACCCCAACAGGGGTACCTCATCTTCCACCTGGCTAAGTTGGTCTTATCCTTCGAGGGTTCCACAGGGCAGAAAACAGGCTAACTGTGACTCAGTTTCAGGAGGAAAAGAGTCTGTCCCTCACCCCCACCCCAGGCAACAGCCACAGGAGATGATGACCCAGCTCCCCTGCCAGGAGCTAAATCTGGGGCCTGGCTGCAGGTTGTCCTGGCTCTGCCACTTGACCTCGGGCGTCTGGCGGGGAGGCCCCTTCCTGGACCTGGGGGACAGCTGCCATGGTCAGTGGGGTCAGGGTGCCGGTGGCAGGGGTGGGCTGGGCTGAGCTGGAGCTGGGGTATCCCCAGACAGGAAGAGTCCTGGGGTCTGTCGGGGGGGTATTGGAAGGGGCAGCAAGAAGACCAGCTCTGGGGTGGTTGGGCCTGAATGGGCAAGGAGACAAACCAGCTACCCATGTGGGTCTAACCGTCTAACCGTCTAACAGCCCACCTTCATCTTTGCCAAACACGCATCATGGCCCTGTTGGCTGAGCTCATGAACAGGAAAGCCATTCCAAAGACACTGCCCCTCGGCAAGCCTCCCCCTTCTGCCCTGCAGACTCATGGGAGAGGCAGTGAGACTGTTTAGGGCTTCAGTCTTCTGGGTCTGGGTTCTGGGGCCATCCACAGGGAGACCTCAGTGTTGACCTCCCTCGCCTCTTGCCCCCCAGTCCCACCGGAAGTTCTCGGCCCCTCGGCATGGGCATCTGGGCTTCCTGCCTCACAAGAGGAGCCGCCGCCACCGGGGCAAGGTGAAGACGTGGCCACGGGACGACCCCAGCCAGCCCGTGCACCTCACAGCTTTCCTGGGCTACAAGGCGGGCATGACGCACACCCTGCGTGAGGTGCACCGGCCAGGCCTCAGTACGTCACGGGGGTGGGGTGGGGGTCAGGAGCAGTGGGGGGGGGGGGGGGGGCAGCTTGACGGGGAGGGTCTCGACCTGCCCGGGGAGCATTCCAGATATTAGGAGCCAGAATCAGCTCTCAGGACCCGGGAGGGGAAACCCAGCCCAGGTAGTGCCAAGTCCCAACCATGAGAACGACCATTAGCAAGGCATAGGAAACACACCACCTTCATCTTTGCCAAATACGCATCATGGCCCACCACGGCCCCCATTTTACAAACGATCAAATTGTGGCGCAGAGCCCCTGAGAAACCTGACTGCTCAGCAAGACAGTAAGTGGAGAGGCCAAGGGGTCAAACACAGGTGTGTCATAAATAACCAGTATATGTCACACGGAAGCAGATGGCTACCTCGTTCTCCCACAGAGCTGCTGGTGGGTTTGAATTGCCAACCTTTCCTTTAACAGCTGACCCCTGATCTATCGCACTGCCAGGACCCCTCACAGTGGTGGTGGTGGTGGTGGTGTGGAGTCGCTTCTGACTCACAGAGACCCTGTATAGGGTTTCCAAATCTGTAAATCTTTATGGGAACAGAGAGCCTCATCCTTCATCTGAGGAGAGGCCGGTAGAGTCCAACTGCTGACCTTGTGGCTAGCGGCCCACGTCATACCCCGCTACGCTACCAGAGCTCCTTCAGGGCTCCTCAATATGTTGTTGTTTTAAAGTGTCGAGGAGTCGGTTCGAACTCATTGTGACTCTGTATAGGATTGCTGAGGTTTTAAATCCTCTCAGGAGCAGAAAACCTCGTCTTTCTCCCACAGAGAAGCTGATGGGCTTGAATACACAAATCTTGTGGTTTGCAGTTCAGTGCTTATCATATGGAGCCACCTGTATGTTGTAATAAGTTTTAATATAGAAATAAGTAACATATAATATATAACAGATGACAGATAAAATGGAGGGTCATCAAAAAAGAGGAAGACGCCCAGTGAGACGGACACAGTGACAGCAACGTGAGACTCGTGAGGACTGGGATCTGGGTCATTCTGATGGCCACAGGCTCGCTATGAGTGGGAACGGACTCTGCGGCACCAAACAACAACAACAACAACGTAACACATATAATGCATGATGTAATATTTCAATCCATAGGCATACTATAGAGTCCTGGTGTGGCACTGTAGGATAAACACTGCACTGCTAAATGCAAGCTTGGCAGTTCAAACCCACCAGCTGCTCCTGCGAAACCTTATACAGGGTCGCTATGAGTTGGAACCAACTCCAGGGCACACAAGCACCACTACCACAATAGTATGTTTTAGTATATAACTATCGAACATAGACTATGAAGAGGCTTCAAAAAGTTCATGGAAAAACAAGATGAAAATATCATGCAATTTTCCCACGAACTTTTGCAAACCTTGTAGATGATGTATGGACTCCGGGTGTGTTGCTCGCTGTAGGATGAGCACTGGTCTGTGAATCACAAGGTTGGCGGTTCAAACCTACCACCAGCCACTCCTTGGAAACCTCATACAGGATTGCTATGAGTCGGAACCAACTCGACAGCACTTAACACACAGGTAGTTCCCAGGTTATGAACATGCAACTTGTAGGCGGCCTGTAGTTATAAACCAACCCTGTAAAGCCCACCTTAAAAATTCAAGGTGCACACAATACTTTGTAATAGCAAATGATGGTTCCTCTGCTGTGCATCCAATGTGAGACTGTTCACTGCAGACTAGTAAGCAAGCACAAGTAAGCCCATGCTTACCTTACATATCGGGCATAACCTGCACTGTCCTGGGATCTCCTCCAGAAATCTCCAAGCGGGAGGAGGTGGAGGCAGTGACGATTGTGGAGACACCACCTCTGGTGGTGGTGGGTGTGGTGGGCTACGTGGCCACCCCTCGAGGCCTGCGGAGCTTCAAGACCATCTTCGCAGAGCATCTTAGTGATGAATGTCGGCGTCGTTTCTACAAAGACTGGTGAGGGTCCTCAGGGCTGGGTGAGGGCTCACAGGGCCAAGGGGCTGTGTGGGCCCCTTTCTCTGAGACCCCAGTCTTATGCTGGAGACATGAGGGTTGGGGGCTGAAGGAGAAGTGTCAACCATGTGTGGAACGCAGGAAGAGAGTGTGGGCATGTTGTGCATTGAAAGATGCGCAAGGAATCATTAGAGGGAAATTTGGGGGGATGTCATCATTGGTTCTAAGCTTCCCAGCAGCCACGGTGAAAAGGGAAAGAGGCCACTGATGACCTCTGTCATTAAAGAGGGTGAGGTATTCTTAGGCCTCAAATCTACCCTGGCAATGAGTCTAGAAAGAAGAAGGCTCACCCACTTTGTGATCCCTTGCAGACCCCTTTCCCTTCTCCGCCTGGAGGCTGAGGTATTTATTGCCCACCTTCTCCCTGAACTCAGTCTAGTCCTCACTTCTCCCAGGAGGTGACAAGCTTGGGCTCTGGAGTCAGAGCAGGTGTGTCACCATGGACAAGCCAGCCTCCTATTGCCCCCCATAAAACGGGGTCCTGTGTCGTAACACTGCTGTGAAGGTCAGACCAGGGATGTAAGACGCTCGTCAGAGACATGCTCAGTAAATGCCCACTGGCCTCCTTCTTGCTGTTTCTACTGTAACTCATTTGACCCTCGTCCAGAGTTTTAACTTCTGTGAACCTCAGTTTCTTTATATCGTTCCTGCCTTTCAAAGTAACCATACCACTCTTTAAAGGTGGGGTCAGGAGCTGAGGTAATGTGGGCAGGTGGGGTTGGCCTCCAGGTACCCAGCCACCAATCACTCTCAGGACCTGGGGGGTGGGGGAGGGTGCCTACCTTACAGAGGAGAAAACTGAGGGCGAGGGAGAGAGGGAGGGGCTCTGCTGAAGGATGGAGGTGAAACCAGCCGAGGGGGTCTTAGGTGAGGTCCCAGCAGTGAGGAAGAAGGAAGGGGACATTTCTTATTCCAAGACCCCTCCCTGGTTGGTTACGAGTCAGGGCAGGGCCATCTGGGAGCTGCCTGCTGGCACCTCTGAGACCCTCATGTGTGTGACGCCTCTGAGCACCCTGTGTGTGTGGCGTAGGCACAAGAGCAAGAAGAAGGCATTCACCAAGGCCTGCAAGAGGTGGCGAGACGCCAATGGCAAGAAGCAGCTCCAGAAAGACTTTGCTGCCATGAAGAAGTACTGCAAGGTCATTCGTGTCATCGTCCACACCCAGGTCAGCAAGTGACCGCCAGTCCACCTCCCACCCCACCCCCCGCTTCCAAAAGCCCTGGAAAAGGTCAGCCTAAAAATATCTGTGCCTTGGGCACCGGCCCAGAGAGTTTGCTGCCTGGTCACGTTAGGCGTGAGTGCATTCCGAGGAACTGTGGGCCATGTCCTGAATGGCCTGGGTCTCCCGCCGAAGGTCTAGTGTGTAGAGCTGGCTGCCTGTCATTGGTTCAAGTGTGTATGTGTGTCAGCGTTTGTACTTGGGGTCCGGCTCAATGTGGGTGGAAGGGAAACAACAGCCTCCCAGATTCTTCTGGAACATTTCTTGCCCATCTTCTCTAAGGGACACCTTCTCGAGTTTCCAGAGCAGACATGCACCCCCCTTCCCTAGAGTCTCCCACGTCCCCCTGATCACCACCCCTCCCCTGTTCCTTGTACCCTTACAGTTCCCAATTAACTGTGTTCTGTGTTAATGTTCATCTCCTTCCCTAGACTTCAGTTCAATGGGGGCAGAGTCCTTGGGGGCAGTAGCCCCAGCCCACACCTCGAACCTGGTATGCAGTTGTGGCTAAGTGCCATCAGGTCGGTTCCGACTCATAGTGACCCTGTATAGGGTTTCCAAGGAGCTGCTGGTGGCTTTGAACCACCAACCTTGCAATTAGCTATCCAGTGCCATACCACGACTCCTGGTATGCAGTAGACGCTCCCTCAATTCTTGTTGGTGAACCCTAGGTTTTGACCTAACTGGTCTCTGGGCTTCTCCAGTCCATCCCCACTGCCTGTGCCAGAGATGTTTACAGAAGCAATCAGATCCAGTGACAACCTGCAGTTGGAATAAGAGCCAGGGCTTGTAGGACCAGCCTGGCTTACCCTATGTCCACCTCTGACCCCATCCTGTACCACGCTCCTAGCCATCACGGGGTCTCCTTTCTGGTCCACCAACTCCCTAGGACCTTTGCACATTCTATTCTCTGCCAAGGAGCCCTGGTGAGGCAGAGGTCAAAGTATTGGCTGCCAACTATAAAGTTGACAATTGGAACCCACCAGCTATGCCCTAGCCTAGGAGAAAGATGAGGCCGTCTGCTTCTACAGAGATTGTTGTTGTTGTTGTTGTTATGTGCCGTGGAGACTGTTCTGACTCATAGTGACCCTACACAGGGTTTCCGAGGCTGTAAATCTTTATGGGAGCAGAAAGCCTCATCTTTCTCCTGTGGAACAGCTGGTAGTTTCAAACTGCTGAACTTGCAGCTCGCAGCGCTATTCGTATACCTTGGAAATGCCTTGGGGTGATTCTACTCTGTCCTGTACGATCGCCAAGAGTCAGAATCAGCTGGTTGGCAGTGGGCAGTCTCTGCTCCCAAGTCTCAGATCTGTGCCCAGTGGCTCGTTCTCAGAGGACCCCCCTCACTAATGTCCCAGTAGAGCATGTAGCCCGGTTGAAGCGTTTCCTTGGTTTCTGACTATCCTTTAACTGGACGGTTGCTCCAGGAGAGTTGGGATCTGTCCTTATTGTTCCACACTGTCTCCCAATGTCTCACATGGCCCACGGCACATAGCTGGAGCATGGGGGTGTCTGTGGGTGAATGCATGTACACAATCCAGCATGCACCACCCATTCTGAATCTGCCGGCAGCTGCAGAACCACCCTTCTGTGCCCTGACTTGTAGATGAAGCTGCTGCCCTTCAGGCAGAAGAAGGCTCACATCATGGAGGTGCAGCTGAATGGTGGCACAGTGGCCGAGAAGGTGGCCTGGGCACAGGCCCGGCTGGAGAAACAGGTGTCTGTGCAAAGTGTCTTCAGTCAGAGTGAGGTCATCGACGTCATCGCTGTCACCAAGGGCCGCGGCGTCAAAGGTAACATCGGGTAAGGGTGGTGGCTCCTGGGAAGGCTGCCTGGGGGTGGCCAGGTTGGTGACTCAGCTGCTGGCCCCTCCTGCAGGGGTCACTAGCCGGTGGCACACCAAGAAGCTGCCTCGGAAGACACACAAGGGGCTTCGTAAGGTGGCCTGCATTGGTGCCTGGCACCCTGCCCGTGTGGGCTGCTCCATCGCCCGGGCTGGCCAGAAGGGCTACCATCACCGCACAGAGCTCAATAAGAAGGTGTGTCTGCAGTATACAGCATGCTCAAAGCCCCTGACAGGTGGGGTGCATGACCTAGACACTGCCTGCCCCCCGAAATCTCTGGAGATACCCCACCAGGGTGGCTCCATAGACCCCTCCTGCCCCAGTGTGCCTTTTCTTCCACAGATCTACCGCATTGGCCGAGGGCTGCACATGGAGGAAGGGAAGCTGGTGAGGAACAATGCCTCTACCAGCTACGACGTGACTGACAAATCCATCACACCGCTGGTGAGGCAGCCAGGCCTGCTGAGGGGGCTGGGGTGGGTGGGGGCTGCTCTAGGACCCCTGTACCTGGCTGAGTACTACATGACCCAAGGACTCAGGAGGTGGCACCTGGTGGACCACTCCTCTAAGCGTTCTGCAGCAAGGCACCATTGTACAACCTCCTGGGTGGGTAGCCACTCCGTGCTCTGACATCAAGGTTACGGCTACACCTGTGGCCCTGATATCAGAACGCTTGGGCCCAAACGCCACATCCAGCATGCACCGGCTCAGGACTTACAGCCAGCTGTCTATTTCCCGTTTCATACAATGCAGATCTTTAAATGAGATTCATACCTAGAGGCAGCTTTGAGGAGTGGGGACCTAACAAGCATCTGGGGGTGTCACCTCCAGCTCTGGGAATCCTTGCAGGGGCTATTTCCAATCAGGGTGGTGTTCCCCCACCCCACTTCAGCAGCCTGTTTCCCAGTCCTGGCCCCTGACCCAGTCTCCCCCACAGGGTGGCTTCCCCCACTACGGGGCGGTCAACAATGACTTTGTCATGCTCAAGGGCTGCATTGCTGGCACCAAGAAGAGGGTCATCACACTGAGGAAGGTGGGCTGGGGAGTGGGTGTCATGGAGGGGGATCAATAGGAGGTAGGGGTAGAATGAGGAGGGTTCTGGAAGGAGCTTGTTGGGTGGAACTTCTGGGGATGGGGAACAATGGGAGCAAAGACAGGGACTGGGCGTGACAGGTGGGGTCTTGGCCTCAACACTCCCCTCTCCCACGGGTCTCCAGTCCCTCCTGGTACACCACAGTCGCAGGGCCCTGGAGAGCATTGAGCTCAAGTTCATCGACACCACCTCAAAGTTTGGCTACGGCCGCTTCCAGACAGCCCAGGAGAAGAGGGCATTCATGGTGAGTCAGCCTGGCCCAGGATGTCTGCAGTCCCCACCTTCCCCTATCTCATATGAGGGTGGCAGTGCATCCCTGCCCTCATATACAGGACGGGGGTGCTTTCCGGGTGGAGTCCTGAAAGTGGACGCTTGCTAGAGGTTAGGGGACGGGTCCGCCATGGGTGAATGTGGTGGTTGTTGGGATTGCATCCTCAGGCAGACCCCTGTGACAAACTCTCCTCTTGCTCCCCCGCCCTAGGGCCCCCAGAAGAAACATTTGGAGAAGGAAAAGCCCGAGACCTCGGGAGATCTGTAGGCGGTATCCCCACTTGTCTAATAAAGTCTTGTGGCAACTCTTCCCGCGGTGTCTCGGGAGTGGGGGAGCAGAGAGGTCGCAGCGAACAGTAGCCGGGGGCTCAAGGTCGACGGCACTCCCCTCCCGCCCCCGGCGTCCGAGGAGGGGCAGGGTGTCTGGGGCGAACGGGGCGGAATCCCACAGAGGGAGAGCAGACAGTCCGCAGGGGACGGGCCTCGGAGAAATGGCCTAGGAGTGGCCCTCAGGTACCACTGTCGCCTATGGGCAGGGCCTGCTGGGATGAAGACTAGGACAGGTCCTTGTGAGGGGGCGTGGCCCCTTGAGACGGAAGCCGAAATCTGCATTCCAGGGAGAGATTGGTTCAGGGCAGAAGGCGGGGCCTTGGGAGGCGGAGCGGAACTTAGGAAGGGATGGTTCTTAGATGTGATTGGTCCCTGGATAGGGCGGGGCCTGTAGGCGCGCGGGGCGGGGCGGCGGCGCGGATCTGTGCGGTAGTGGAGTAGGTGGCTTCTGAGCAGGCTACGCGGCGTTCGCGCTGCGGGGACGGCGACGCCATGTCTTTCTGCAGCTTCTTTGGAGGAGAGGTTTTCCAGAACCATTTTGAACCGGGTACGGCATGCAGCTCCCTCCTGGGAGGGCAGCGGGGTGGGAACAGCGCCGGAGAGGGCGTCGATGCCCTCAACTCTTGTGTAACCCAGGGGCTGGGGTCAGGCTAGCTAAGCCGCCGGGGAGCAGCGAACGTGGGTAAGGGAATCTCAGAAGAAGGAATCTGAAAGAGGGAACGGGGCATTAGAGGGCGGGGTCGCAGCCCCAGAAACCGGGGTGACAGGATAGTGCCTGGCAGGGAGGAGGGCGTTGGGGAATGGGACTGGGATCCGGGCCAGGGTCGGGACTAAAGGAAAGCGGGGTGCACAGGTTCAGTGGAGGGCTTGTCCAGAGTCCCCTGGGCGGGGCTGCCCCCAGATGTTATTCTGGCTCTCACCTTCCTCATTCTGGTGTGAAAGTCCACGGGCACAGAATGTCCTGTTGTTTCCCATGTGCCAACCTGTGGCCTCCTCCACCTTCTCATTGGGTAGTCTGGAGTGGCCCCCTTGGCTCTGCTCCCAGTCCTGCCCTTGTGGGTTTGAAGTTTGCTGGACAGCTCTGCAAAGGCGCAGTTCTCTGCCCTGGTTCTAGGCTGCTAGAGTTCTTGGTGTGTACCTTGCTGGGGCAGGCCTGCCTTGTAAATGGACTAATTTGGTAAACACACGGGGCCCCAGTCTAGACCAGCACAACCAGCCTAGCTGAGGCTGCACCTCCATTGAATGAAACATCTGGCACAGCTGTGATGCCAGCTGGGACAAGCCCCTCTGAGACCCTAGGACCGTGGGACTTCGATGCCCTCAGGTAGCTCAGCCAAATCAGAAGCTAACTCCCACATACCTTCTGCCCTTCCTCTTTGCTTTCTCCAGAAGTTCTTGGCAAATGCTAGGAAGTTCAGATACCCTAAACTGTGGGTTGGGTAGTGCTTCCGAGCCCCTGGAGAGGAAGGCCCTATGTAGTTTCCTGTTTTTGGACTTTCAACACTTTCGTAAATCAGTTTGGCAACTCCCCAGTCATCCAAAGTGACCTGGGGATGGGTTGAAATGAGTCCACCTTGTCACCGTTTCTATCCATCTTCCTGGGCTCTCTGTCTGTCCCAGGACCATTCTGCCTGGAGAGCAGGTAGGTGGGTGGGTTAGTGGGCTTCAGGGGTCATGTGGGAAGAGGAGGGGTCCAAAGGGAGATGCTGAGTCAGTGTGCCCATGTGAGGACCTGTGTCCTCATTGGGTCAGTGCCCTCATCCGCCTTCCTCGGTTCCTTCCTGGTTGCACATGTCCCATCCTCAGCTTCCTCTTCTGTAGAATGGAGTTGGTAACAGACCTTCCCGGAGCCCTGGTGGTGCAGTGGTTAAGCATTGTACTGCTAACCACAAGGTCAGAGGTTGAATCCCACCAGTCACTCTTCAGGGGAAAGGTGTTGCTGTCTGCTCCCGCCAAGATTCACAGTCTCAGAAACCTTAAGGGGCACCTCTGCTTTGCCTTATAAGGTCTCTGAGTCGGACAGCAGTGGTGCGATTTAATGACTCCTCACCAGCTAGAGGGAGAATTCAGGAGATCCGAGTGCCTGGTATATATGGAGGATCAATCACTGCCAGCTTGGCTTTGGTGTAACCTCTGTGCAGGGTCCATGGGTGGGGATGTGGGGAGGGTCTTGAAATGGTTGCTGCGCTGTCTTCGCCTGGCTGGAGCTTGACACCTCTTCTTTTGCCTCCTGCCCCCAGGTGTCTATGTGTGTGCCAAGTGCGGCTATGAGCTGTTCTCCAGCCGCTCAAAGTTTGAGCACTCGTCCCCTTGGCCGGCATTCACTGAGACCATCCACTCTGACAGTGTGGCCAAGCGTCCGGAGCACAATCGGCCTGAAGCCTTAAAGGTGGGTGCATCCCGCAGCGCTAGGGGCTCCACTGCCTCCCTGAACTATAGGGGGAGCCGGGGACCTGGTGTGAACACAGGAAACGCTCCATCATTCCTGGTTCCGTGGCCATGGATGTGTAGCTGGAGAAAATACTGCTGCTGCTGGTCCCCATGGGCCATTACGGCAGCTGCACTCTGGGGGCCGGGAGCTCACGTGGCTGTGCTGTGCTCTTCGCAGGTATCCTGTGGTCGATGTGGCAATGGGCTGGGCCATGAGTTCCTCAACGATGGCCCCAAGCGGGGACAGTCCCGATTCTGAATATTTAGCAGCTCGCTGAAGTTCATCTCTAAAGGTAACCGTGTCTTCCCACTTCTGGGCAATGGCCTGCTGAACGTTTTGGGGGGCCTGGGGCTGGGAAGCATACTGTTTGTTCTCCATCCATATCACACTGCCCAGGGTCACCCTGAGAGATAGAAACGAGGAGTGTTGATGTCCAGCCTCCTTTGATCAGTTGATCGCGTGTGTCCCAGAAAGAGGCATCCAAGGACGGCTGTGGCCAACGACCATTCTGGAAGCCTGAATTTTACCAGGAGTGGGCAGTTAAGTGGGTAGAAGTTGAGGGCCTAGCTGTGGCCTTGAACTTGCTTCTCACCCTGTTTGCCCTTCCTCCTATAACAAGTGGACCAGGCGGTTGGAGATGAAGACTAGCAAAGCCGGGCAAGGGCCTTGCACGTATCAGCCACTTAGTGACCACCTGCTCTAGTTGGCAGTATTTTTACTGTGACTTCTTGGTGTCCGGGGAGCTGCATTTCATTTCTGGGCCTGTCTGAACTCTGCCGAGCCATCCGATTACTTCTGTGGAGCTTCCATGACCTTAAAAACCTAAACCTGCTACCACTGAGTTGATTCTGACTCACAGCGACCCTGTAGGACAGAACAGAACTGTCATGTGGGGTTTCCAAGGCTGTAAACCTTACGGAAGCAGGCTGGTTCATCTTTCTCTTATGGAACAGCCGGTGGGTTTGAACCGCCCACAGTTTGGCTTGTAGTCAAGTGCTTTCACCACTGTGCCACCAATACTTCTTTAACCCCCCAAACCAAATCCAATGCCCGCAGTGGATTGCAGCTCACAGTGAGCCAGGACACGGTAGACCTGCCCTGTAGAGTTTCCAGAAAATCTTTATAGGAGCAGAAGCCATGTGGAGTGGCTGGTGGGATCAAACGGCCAACCTTTTGGCTAGCAGCTAAGTACTTAACCACTGCACCACTAGGGATCTTTTCCCATCACATCAACCCTCCCATGTCCTTGCCATCCAACTGCAGGCTCACTGTGTTCGGGACCCCTCAGGCTTTGTCATTCTGATCCCCACTTAGTTTTCTCCTCTGTAGAATGGGTTGTATCGTCCTCCCTGCTTGCCCTCGTTGTGGTGGGATAAGTGGGTGTGTATGTAAGGACCTCACACACTTTTGTTGTCTTGTTGTTGTTGTTACTTGTCTGTGTGGAAGACAAGATTCTGGACTCAGTGGCGTACACAGAGCTCTCCAAGTTGGGCATCTGGGCCTCTCCACTTGCCCTGGCCCGTGGGCTGTCGGAGTAGGCCAGCCTAGGGGAGAGACTCTGAGGTAGGTTTCTCTGCTCTCCCTCTTCTTTTTCAGGTCAAGAATCTTCTGCCACCCAGGGGAAGTAAGCGAGCAACCCGCACCCTCCAAATCGCCACCCCTTGCTGAAAGTTGAGCCCGCTGACATTCAGACAGGGAGAGAGGGATGGGGCAGGGACTGAGGCTGGCACATCAGGGACACAGCAGGTGCTTCCTGATTGGCCCACACTCCTCTTTGCCAGGACAGGACCAATAGGCTGAGTGGGTGACTCATCTTGGCCTCGGAATCTCGAGGCCAGGATTGTGGGCTTAGAGCATCTTGAAAGCCGTTGCACCCCCAGCTTCTCTCCTCAGCCTGGCTTCCCCTCCCTGCCTGTCTGGGCTCATTCCTGGGGCAGAGGGCTCTGGCCTTCGCCAAGGCCTTACTAAGCCCTCCCGCCCCAAGCTTTGTAAGTGGACACAATGCCAGCAAAGCCGTCCTGGCCGGCTGCTCCAGCCTTGCTCACTACATGATTCGCTCTGGTCAAACCCTTCCAGGCCCACCAGGGCGCTGATGGTTCGTGACTCGCTGGGGCATCAGGCCAACAGCACAGCCCCTCATCTCTGTAGGAGAGGTGCACCCCTAAACTCCAGGTCTCGGTCTGTGGGATGCCATGACCTCTGACCAGCCCTAGTCATCCACACCTGCCAAGTCCCTCCCCCAGAGACTCCAACCGTGCCTTAATGTGTGCGCTCCAGTGGTCCTGCCATCCCATTCAGGACATGCTGGAGGCCCTTCCTTCTTGAGTCCTTTCTGGAGGAATAATGTGAAAAATCAATAAACCAAGGACACCCAGGCCCGCAGACGCCAGGCCACACTGCAGTTACTTCATTTCTTCCTCAGATATTTCTCAAGCAGCCGCTTGATGCTAGGTCCCATGCTCGCTGATGGGGACACAGCCAGGAGCAAGATGCAATTAGGGTCCATCCCTGGAGGGGCTGTGTCTTCCTTGGGGAGACAGAATGGACGAGACCAATGTTCTAAGTTGGTCCAGGTGCTGGGGTGGATGGGCATTGGGAGGGGTCAGCATTGACAGCACTTAGAGGAGTCCTGTCCAGGGGGGCTTCCTTCATATGCTGGGTCTCCCTAGTTTGGAAAATGTCTCCACCTTCGCCCAGCCAGGGGTCAGCAGTGCCTGTGGCTGCTGGGAAGTCTGTCTGGGGCTCAGCAGCCCTATGTCCCCCAATTCCAACGCCTGCCTATTCCTTGTCTTCCTTCTCATGCTCCTCAAATGGAACCTGGTTTTGGGGCTGCCATAGTCAACGCTGCCCCGATGGGCCTCAGGTGCCATCCCAGCCTGGCCTTGCTCAGAAGTGGCCCCCTTGCAGGCGAGCAGGAAGTTAGTATCAGTGTGTCCCCGCAAGGGGGACAATTTTTGCAGGCGCACACTGTGTCTTGACAGTCACCTGAATGCAGCTGGTACACGCTTGCAGGAAAGGCAGCTGAGAAGTGGGTGACCTGTCTGAGTCCACACAGCTGGGAAGATGGGGAGAAGCAGCCCTGAGTGCCTTGTTGGGGACCCCTCTCCCACCTACCCTCTTCTACTATTTTTTTCAAACCCCAAATGGGAAACCCCAGCTCTGGGAAGGCCTTGGTCACCTTTGATCCTGGCCTGGACAGGTTGGACCCACCCAGCAGTCCCGAGGGAGACAGACCTGGGAGTCAGCTGCAGTGATTACAGCCAAGAAAACTCTATAGAGCGGCTCTAGTCTGCCACACACGGGGTCACCATGAGCTGGAGAGAACTCAGTCGATAACATAATGACTGGGACAGTGGACACATTCCGGGGGCAGAGGCTAGCTGGCTGAGTAGGCATCCTGAAGGTAGCACCTCTCCTCACAGCATCTTTGTGGATCAGCGTGTTCCGGAGAGAAAATGTGGCTAAGAAAATGTGGCACCTTTGGGGCCCCTTCTCCAGGCTCAGACCCCTTAGTGGGGTATGTTTAAGGAAACTTTTTGCTAGAGCCCCGGTGGGCTTTTAGGAGGGTGCAGGAGGCAGGAGAACTGTGTACCCCAGATGCCTCCAACTCATTTGCACATCTATGTTAATGAGGGGTAAGGGTGGACCAGGGAGGTTCAGTGGGGCTGGCAAGTGATGCCTGTAGGGATGGGGAAAGTGGGCCAGTGGACCCTGAGTCCTTGCATGGGCTGCTGGGATGGGCATTGTCTGCAGGGGCCACTGAGATGCCTGGGTGGGGCTGGCATTCCCAGTTCCTAGAGTGTTTCACAGAGTCCTCGGGTGGTGCTGTACAGTAAACACGACTGTTAACCACAAGGTCGGTGGTTCAAACCCACCAGCAGCTCCTCGGAAACCCTATACAGAGTCACTATGACTCAGCACTTTACAACAATCGTGTTCGCTGTAATCATCCTTACCTCTGGATATTGTGAAACAAGAGACTAGGGCTAGCCTCCTCACCTTCCCTGCCAGCTGGAGCCTTCGAGGTGAAGCCTCTAGAGCTGAGTCGGGTCAGGCAGGAAGAAGAAACCTATGTCTGGGGTGTCCTGGAGCCTAGCACGAGCTTCCCCACCCAGGGCAGCGCTCATAAACGTCTGCAGCTGAGTGCATGGATGATACTTTAGACTTCTGCTTACTGATGCTTTCCGGCCCACTGGTTGCAAGTACTACGAGTGGGAGCCGTGACTCTGAACAGGGGTGTGGCCTGCAGTCAGGTCCCAGGAAGCTCCTGACCATGTGCCTGGGTAGGGCAGACAAGAAGGAAGGGTTGTCCAAAGAGTTGGCGAAGGGCACTGCCAAGCCAGATCGAGGTCATCACTGTGTACCCTCTCTCATATGTAGCCTGGTAGGAGGCTTAGCGGTACCACCCCATCGGAGACCACACATCAAGGCCATGCGCTGTACAGACCGGTAGAGGGCGCACTCGCTCCGCGCTGCCAGTACGTCGGGCTGGGGAGGTCTCACTGCGCCGGAGCGCAGTAGCCGCTCCACTCAGAACCCCGGGGTCCCAGCGCCCGGCCCAGGTAACACGGTCACCGCTCCAGAGATACCGAATGGCCTGCGCGGGCGCCCCCAGCCCCCTCGTCCACGCCTCCTCAACATTCAGTCCCCATGGGGATAGGGGCAGAGGTTTCCATGAGCCAGAAGGTGTGGGGACCAACAGGGGGTACTACTTTTGCTGAGCTTCGGCAGAGTGTTGGGTGTAGGGAGAGCAGCCTGGCCCCGGGGTGTCTCTTCCTGGGTCAGCCGGAGCGGTGTTAGGCCTGGAGGCAGACGTATGAAGAAGGGTGGAGGTCGGATGCCCCTGTCCAGCTGTCCAGGTCAGTGAGCAAGATCCACTTGGACTGATGTCCTGCTGTCTCCCTGGACCTGGCCCAGCCCCAAGGACTATAGGTCTTAGGGCTCTAGCTCCTAGCATCGCTCCCCTGTGATCTCTCCCCCATATACAGGTGTCCCGTATTCTAAATTGGGTTGGCCCAATTGTGGGGGCAGGGAGGGAGTTGGGAGGGGTTCGTATCAAAAAGCACTGAGGAGCCTCATTCAGGAGGGGCTTTCTGCGTGTGCCTTCTCCATCCCTGAGTTTTGCAAAATAGTGAGCAGATAGGAAGGAATTCCCCTGAGTGGTTCCCACAGCTCTGCCGCTGACCGTAGCCGACCCCAACTCTCCAAGCTGGCTTTGCTACTCCATAAACGGACAACGTTATTTATCATAATTATGCGGGTTTATTGCCAACACCCCTGCACCCAGCCCTATGGGCAAACCACACTCGATTCTAGAAACATGTCCTGTGTTGCTGCCATCTTCGCATTTGCGGTTCCTTGTTCCATCTTTCTCATCTTTCTCCAGAATCTTACTAGAAACCATTCCTGGTGGCTTGCCCAGTGGCTCTCTCCTACTCCACTCCAACCACGGGGGGCCTTTCTACTGAGGGACTACGGTTCTCTGCACGTCTCATCTGTCCCAGAGCTTCCCAAAGCTGGCACCCACATCCTTTCATTCCATTTCCCATGGAGAATATGGGGCCCATGGGAGGCCCACATACAGTGACATCAAATGAATGCACGCCCAATATTTCGACTGCATTGCGAGCTACTCACTTCCTTTTCTGGGTACACAACCTCAAGATGGCTGATGTAGGACTCACATGTTCACACGTGTGTGTGTGTGTGTGTGTGTGTGGTACGGATGGGGGTGTAGAGGACTCTGGGGCCATTTATCCTGGTTTGGGGTGTTCCAGCTTGGTCTCAGGTGACTGAGTGGAGAAGACACACTGGGTGGTGAGGTTGTAGGGGTGGGGGGTGGCAGACGGAAGGGGAGATTTCTGGGTACTACCGGCAGTGTCCATATCTTTCCCTCCAGGTCTCAGGTCCCAGGCCCTCACTCCCCCAGCGCATGTCTCCAGAAATTGCTGCTTGTAAAACCCTCGAGATTATGCATGGTTTAGACCCTGGTTTCATGTCTCACCATGTTTCATCTCCAGCTAGGATGTTTACAAGCTGCTCTGGGCTTCAAAGGGCTGGTGGCTGCTCTAAGAAGAGAAGGGGCAGGGCAGCAGGGCCAGGTGAGGTCGACCTGAGGTGGAGTCAGCTTGTTGGCTCTGAGCTTCCCTTCCATTCTGGACTACAGTAGCCACTTGGTCCCACAGTGTGTGATGGCTGGGGGTGACCCTCCCTGACAGTAAATCTCTGGTCAGCCCACAAACTCTGTTCTTTCTCAGGCCCAGCTGATTTCTGGGAACAAACCCCAGGTTCTGGGAAGCCCTGATGACTGGTCATCTGTGTCCAGGAACAGCCTTGTCTCGAAGGAAGCCCCCCAGAGAGGTGGGTGCTCCTGTCATCTTTGTCTTATAAAGCAGGCAAGTGAGGTCCAGAGAGGCAGTGTATCTTCCCAGGGCTCCCCTAGGAGGGTTAGAGCTGGCCTTGACTCAGGCCGGGAATATGCCACAACACAATGGGCACTGCACTGGGCTGTGTCCCCTCCCAGGGGAGCTCAGAGCTGGGCTGAGGAGGGGGGCTTTCTCAAGGGCCCCTCCCTGGATGGAATCACATCTTCCTTATGCTCTGTGGACCCCAGCATCCTAAGTGGAAAAACCACAGAAATCAAGGACAGCTGGGCCACCCTCTGGCGGCAGTCCCCTTCCCTTGCCCCCCTTGTGGCTCCGGAATCCCAAGCGCTAGCGGGAGTAGGTCTGGGGGTTGGGGGGGGGGGATGTAAGGGCGTGGTTTTGGGGGCGGGACTTCCTGGAGGCCCCACATGTGTGAAATTTGCCCCAGCTGTCCCTCACGGAGGAAAGAACCCCTTGGCGAAGTCCTTAATCACTCTGCAGAGTGGGCTAGTGCTTAAGAGTCCGGGGAGGGGGTAGCAGGGGAGAGAGGAGGGGCCCACACACAGACTCGATCAGACACACGCACGCACGTGCAGGCGCGCGCTCACACAGACACTCACTAAAGAGATATGGACGCCCTCTGCTGGTAAGGCGTGGAACAGCACCAGGTAACATCTCACCTGGTCCTTGGCCCCTGTGGCGCTCACATCAAAGATCAACCACAAATAAATAACACGGTCTGTGAAAGGGTCATATAAGGCGCCCCGGTATAGCCTGGGGCGGGTCATGGTACTGGGACGCCATGTTAAGTCCTCCTACAGTGACCTTTCTACCTCCCATGACCTCCCCTTACTGTTGTCCCCTCCTGCTCAGACTCTCTTTGGCATCTCCCTCAGGGACAGTGTTTACCCGGCTGTCGTTGTAACCTACAATGTGACAGCTTGCATGTTGCTGTGATGCTGGAAGATGGCACAACCTTGCTTGCTGTAAGTGAGGAGGAATTGATGCATTTACTGATGAAGATCAAGGACAACGTAAAGAAAAAAAAATCTTCACAACTGGACCAACAAACAACACCATGAGAAATGAGAAAAGATTGAAGCTGTCAAGGATTTTGTTTTCCTTGGACCCACAATCTACATCCATGGAAGCAGCACTTAAGAAATTAAATGACATATTAGGCAAGTCTGCTGCAAAAGATCTCTTTCAAAGTGTTCAAAAGCAAAGATGTCACTTTGAGGAGTTAGGTGCACCTGATCCCAGCCGTGGGATTTTAAATCACATCATCTGCATGTGAAAACTGGACAGTGATTAGGGAAGACTGAGGAAGAACTGATGCATTTGAATTATGGTGTTGGTGGAGAATCTTAGACATACTATGGACTCCCAGAGAACAAACAAGTCTGTATTTCTGTAAGAAGTATAGCCAGAATGCTCCTTTTTTTTTTTTTTTCTTTCTTTCTTTTTTTCTCTCTCCCCAGAATGCTCCTTTGCAGGAAGGATGGCAAGAATTCATCTCACCGACTTTGGACGTGTTATCATAAGGGACCAGTCCCTGGAGAAGGACATCATGGTGAATAGAGTCAGTAAAATGGAGGAGACCCCCAACAAATGGATGGACACAGTGATTGTGCCAACAGGCTCACTCCTCCGGATTGTGAGGACAGCAGAGGAGTGGGTACTGTTTTCTTCTGTTGCACATGGGTTGCTTTGAATTGTAACCAATTCAACACCACCTAATAGCAACTGGGTTCCAGGCTCTGTGCTAGATGATAATCTCCCCATGTCTGCCATCCAAGGAGCCCCACAGATTTACACCTAGATCTCACCTGTTAGCCAAAGGGTGAGTGGGACAGTTGGGGGCTCAACTCCCAAACTCCCCAAGCTGACTCCTCCTTCCTGGTCCTTACAACACACCCCCTCTCCAGCTCTACTCCAACCTCTCCCCACTCCCTAATGTGTTTTTGTGGTAAATTCCTCCTGGACAGTTCTTTGTCTCTCAACTAGGTGGGGGAACTAAAGAAAGGCATTCCTTGAAGGGGAACGGCCTGAGCAAAGGCTAGGAGGTCAAGAGAGCCCAGAGCTGCTGGCCAGGGAAGTAAGGGGGTGATGGACACTGGATCTTGGGACCCTGAATGGTGGCTGCTGGGTCCTGGTACTGCAGGGTGGGGCATGCCCCTCTCTGGATGCCTCTGAGGAGGAGCAACCCATCGGGAATAAACCCCATCGTAAGCTAGACCAGAAGAAGAACTTCCTGTGACCTGACATGTCCCAGCATGCTGTGAAGACAGTGCTGGGCCAACAAGCCGCCCACATGGCTCTGGGTGGAGGCTTGCCCTGACAAGCAGGAGTAGCGCTGGTGTCTGGGACCCAGGTTGGGGGTCTAGGTCAGTGGCCTTTTCCCCTTTGGCTCTGAGTGGCCTCTCAGAGGGCAAGTCTGTCTGGGTGGGAGCTCTGGAAATGTGTGTGAGTCACAGAGGTTCCCCAGTCCTCAGGGGAACCAGGATGCTGGGACATGTCCTTGGGCCTAGTAACAAGTGTGAGCAGAGCCCAGGGCAGGCATCTGCTGGGGCAGGGGCAGAGGAAAGACGGAGGACACTCTCCCCAAGCCTGGCTCCCTCCCACTGACCGCCAAGGTTGCTGAGCCTGGGGGTGTGTGAAATTCCAGAGGGAGTGTCCAGCCAACCCAATAGGGGCTTAACCCAGAGCTCTGTGGCTCGCTGCTCCTCAGAGGGCTGGACAGACAAAGGGCTCCTCCTTCAGTGGAGAGACACTTTGTCAGAGCCCCAAGTGGGTCACTGATGCCCTAGGGGAATGGCAGGCAGGTGGTGTGTCCCATGCTAGAAAGGCTCAGGAGTCCTCAGGCTGGCTTTTAGCTCACGCACTGGGCCCCTCTAAGAGCTTCCGTTTCCACATCTCTGAAATGATACTTGGTTAGCTCTCTTAACTTTTCAGGCATATAGGAGCTTGTAGCGCTGTGGACTAACGCACTGGGCTGTAAAGTCGGTTTGAACCACAAGGTCGGTGGTTCAAGCTCACCAGACGCTCCTCGGAAACCCCATATAGGGTCGCTATGGGTAAAACCGACCCTCGCTATGGGTCGGACGGACTCGATGGCACTTAACAACGACAGGGGCGGACACATGGCGGGGCGGCCCTCCCTGGGATTGTAGGACACATCATCATCTTCATCCTGAGATATCCCAGATGTCTCCGGAAATTCCCGGCGCGCTAAGGTGCCGGGCGGACTTGATTCTATCTTAGCAGCCCGTGCGCCTGGGGTCCAGGCCTCTTTGGCCCAAGGCTGCCCAGCGCACCTGCCGCCCCGCCTCCGTTCCAAAGGGGCGGGGATTACCTTTTAAGACGGACACTTCCACGGCTTTGCGTCAGGGTGAAGACTCCATGTGGAGTCCGAGAGGGTGCGTCCCGGTACCTCTGCACCCGCGGGTCCTAGGCGTGGAGGTGGCCTCGGTGGGGGCCGGGGGAGGGGCGTCAGAGGGCGAGACGTTTAGACCCCGCCCCGGCCCCGCCCCGAGCCCGCTCCCAGGCTGCGGCCAGACAGCGGAGCAGAAGCTTGGGCTGCCGCGGGTTAAGCGCTACGCTACCGCGATGCGCGCCCGTCTGCAGCCCCCGCTCCCAGGTCAGGGCGCCGCGCAATCCCATGGCCGGTAGCGGCGGCCGGGCCGGCGGGGTCGGGGGCGCAGGGGCCGGGTCGGGGGC